ACTGGGTCATGTGTGACGTAATTTGAGAACATAACAACCTGTAGCCTGTTTTAGCTTACAATTCATTCATTTCTACAGTGTCCATATCCATATAGTATCCATGCTGTGGGGCTTCAGAGAAATCTTTTGACAGATAAAAGAATATCTGAATATGACAATGATTGACAGGCTGGAACAGGAAGTTAAGACATTGATATACTCCTTAGAACTACTTATTATCTGTAGTCGCTTGCTTGGATCACTTAAGTTTAGTGAACTTTCAATACAAAGTTCAATCAATCTACTTAAATTCCAATGGGAAAGTTCAAGTTTGTTTTTGTTGTTGTATGTTGTCCGTTTGTCTTTAAATTACAACATTTTCAACATCTCCTACTAAACCACAAAGCCTATAATGCTGAAACTTGAGTGATTACAGCAATGGTGTCTCTAAATCTAAATCTCTGACTTGATATTGAACATGGCTGCTTGGTGGCCATATTGAAAATGTCATGTTTGCCCATTAATCAGCCATTTTGGATGTTATTATAATTGTATTTAATTATTTTTAGCACTTGGTAAAACCTTTTTAAGCAACCAAAATGAAACACAGTGTAAGCCTTCTATTGGTAAAACATGTCTATAAACACTGGTTGAGTCAGATATTTGTTTTATTTGTAGCTATAAAATGTATTGATTCTGCCAAAACAATATCCTGATACTGAAAAACCAGAACCAATTTGCAGGGATGTGAAATCTCTGCAGAAACGCTTTAAAACAATGGTCCTCGGGGAAAAAATCATCTTCCGCGTAAAAATATAATCAAAGCTAAAAAAATAAACACTCCGAAAAATATGAACAAAAACCGGACAACCGTTGTGGTTTGTCCTGTTTTCGATCAGAGCTTTCAGCAGCATAGGTTTTCGGACATCATACGTTTTCTATCACGAAAACGTGGGTTGTGGCGTCACACAGAAATTGTAAATACTCAGAGTCAGATGATGGCTTGTTTTTAAGATAAAGTTGTCTTTTAGCCTATGAAGCTATGCCCGATTTTTTAAATGGACTGATTTAACTTCGAAATTTTACTGCATCTGCCATCTTTGTTTATTTGACTTATTGTCTTTTGCCATTGACTTATTACATTTCTTGGTATGAATGTTGTCCAAACTGCACAAAATTGCTTAAAATGTAATCTAATGTATTTATGGATGGCATGCCCCAGACCCCCCTAGACTTTTCCTCTTTTGGGGGGAAAACCTGCTCACATCCCTGTACTTATAAAAGTTCATTATTTACATTAGTAGCACCGAGTAAAAGCTGGCCTCGCGCTCAGTTTGACATCGTATCAAGGTACAAGGAAAAGTTTTGTCTGGAGGTCTGAATCTGACAAAAGTTGGACATAATTCAACCAACCACTAAATATGATGATGCCAGTGATTTGTCCAGACAAGTTCAAAGACAGCACAAGTAAAATTCTAAATGTGTTATCAGTAACAGGTATTCAATGCATATTTACCGAAAAGTAAAAACAAATATTTTTAAAAAATCAACAACAAATGATATTTTTAGATTGTTTTAAAATAACTGGATGACAATAATTTGTAAAAAAAAATGTTAAAAGTCATCAATAAATATATCAAAAGCACTCCTAGTATGCCCAAAGTATGTACTATCTTTTGGCTACTAGTGAAGAACATATTTCTAAGTATGGCATTATGGCCCTTATGATCTCCTAATTATTCTGGGCACTGAGCGGGGGGGAAATATGCGGACTACGTAATTTTGTTACCTTATTAGTCTCCATGAATATGCAGATAATCTTGTTCCAGATCGATAGAGAAAGTTTCCTTGGGGTACTGCGGGTTATATCGTTGGCCATTGATAGATGGGAATAAGGCAATATTAAAAAAAAAAGATACAAGAAGTAAACATCAACATGTTAATAACTCTTTACAGTCAGCTGGAGGAATATTCCGAGGAAATTGAAATTGTTTACGAAGCGAGCTTTCCTGGTTTGCATTAATAGACAGCCGCTAAGAGGCGTGTCCTGCATGAACTACCGGAAATCACAAATGCCGCGATACGATGAATGCCATGGTACCGCAGGGTCAGAGTATAACTTGATCACCTCAAACCACAACAACACATTAGTACTCTGATGTTATCCAACATACGAGTACATGTCAGTAGGATTGGCTTGAAATAAGTTTAACTAGCTGAATATCCCCATGAGAAGATCCTTGCAATCATGGCTATGTTTGTCAGTAGTGTTGTGCTTTCACAAGTTTCAACTGAACTGTTCAAATAACTATCTAGATTAGATCTTCAGACTTTGTTCCAGCCCTTGCACAGTTAGCCCAATAATACCAGATAAGCATATCTGTTATATGTGTTATCAAGTTTTTTTCGAAGGACTAGGTTAAAAAAAATAGTGACATTGATAACATGCGTTGTCATAATTTTAAGAGTACCGTATTCGACGTAATAAGCGCCCCGCTCTAAACAGCGATATTTGTTAATAAACTGGCTAGTGAACAATCCTAATTAGCACCCCTTCCGATTGATAAATGTACACAAGGCGATTTATTCGTGCATAATACGTTTGTTATATGCACCCTTCATTATGGGCAATTAAATTCTGGAAAAATATATCTGTCGTTTTTAAACATTTCAGCATAAACCACAAAATTTACGCTCTTTGAACTCAAAAATATATATTCTAATAAGAGCCCCCTATTTGTAATTTTGAGATCGCCCTGGGCGCTTATTATGTCGAATACGGTATTTGGGACGTTCAGAGATCTCTTGAAGAAAATGATTAATAAAACTATTTTAATTAATGGTTAACATCTTGTGCATGATGGACATAAACTTGATCACTGCACCATCATATAGCTGGAATATTTGCTGAATGTGGCATTAAACAACGAGCAACATGACCACTTTACCCTAATATATACTCAACAACAAAAGTTCCTGTGACAACATTATTTTAGTGTATATTTCAAACAAGTAAAGTTTGGTTTTCAATATTGTAGTACATGTATGGAACCAAGTCACAAAAATGCAACTGCTACAGGAAAGCATGCATCCCATGCAAAAATTGACTTTTATGCAAGCCCCATGCATTTCACTACCCAAGAATGGGTATAAAAACGTGTGTTAACGGGATTCGATATGCATTGTTTGGCATCGTGCTGACAACAAACACTCAGAAAAATAACAAAATTGCGCAATTATTTATTTAACATTGCCACGCCTGTCTGAAAATGAGTGTCTGCGAGCCATTGCTATGCTTGAAGCAGGATCGAGTCAACGTGATGTTGCAAGACAATTAAACGTCCACAGAAACACCATTTGGTGTTTATGGCAACGTTGGCAACAGACGAATGCAGTCAGAGACCATCCTTGGAGTGGCAGGCCATGCGTAACCAATAATCGACAAGACAACTGGATTCGAACAACACACCTACAAAATCGATTCCAGCCAGCAACAGTGACTGCAAGAAGCATCCCTGGCCTTCGACGAATATCTTCACAAACCGTATGTCGTCGCCTCAGATGTGCATGGATTGTCGCCAGAAGACCCGCCAGACATACCATTTTGACAGGAAATCACCGTCAAGCACGTCGACAGTGGTGCAGACAGCGTCTACGCTGGACGGCCATGCAGTGGGGACAAGTTCTATTCACTGACTTGTTTTCACCTCAGCCACAGCGATGGAAGGATTTTAGTGTACCAACGTCGAGGTGAACATTACGTCAATCATTGTGTCATGGAAGAAGATTAGTATGGGGAGGGATTACAGCAAGACAGAGGACCCGTTTGATAGTGGTAGTGGGAAATCTCAATGGACAGCGCTACCGCGACGAGATCATGATTCTCTTCTACAAAACAACGTGAATGTCATCCCCTACCCGTTTCGCTCCCCTGATCTCTCACCAATCGAACAAATGTGGTATGAGATGGATCAGTGTCCTTGACGTCGTCCACGTGTTCCACAGACACTCCAGGAACTTTGAAACATGCTGCAGCAGATATGGACAGATATCCCATAGGACTTTGTGCGACGCCTGGTCCATTCCATGAGACGAAGATGTGTTGCTTGCATCGCAACCAGAGGTGGACACACACACTATTGATGTTTTGGCATGTTCATATTTTTTATGAAATCACGAATTTTCTGATGTCAGTATGGCAAATTAAACCATTTGAACACTTACAGGAGTCTTTCATCTGTTGCAAACCGAAATTGTTTCAGATTTGGTAAAATACATAATTTTGCATTAAATCTTATTCAATGTCACAGGAACTTTTGTTGTTCAGTATAGCTGGAATATTGCTGAGTGCAGTATAAACAACCAAGTAACAACATGGCCACTGTACCCTCAAATAGCTGGAATGTTGCCGAGTGTGGCCTTAATCAGATCAGTTAGATCATCGGATCAGTGGGCATTCCAGTGTGCTTCCTCAGCTTCTAGGGGGCACGAGTAGCACAGTCATCTAACATGTTGAAGACGCGCAATTTGCTTTACAGAGTTGCATCCCTCAGTCATGCCAGAAACCTATGATTGTAGGTTCAAATCCCGATTCGCCCAAATTGTATTTCTAGGTTTGTCAGCACCATACCCATGCTCGTAAGTTTCATAAAGTGGTAAATGTGTAAGACCTGATCACTTCAGGCTTTCCTCCAACATTAACATGAAATCAAAAGCAGGACATTTCAAATATTGCATATTCTAATGACATACTTTAGGTCAGGTCACAGATGAAAACTGTATGTTCCAAGCGTTGGCGCAGTCCTTTGAAGATGAATGAGTAGTGTTATGTTTTCACCACTACTGGTGTTATTGGACTGGATATGTTGAAGACATGAGTGAGCAGTGATTTGCTGGAAGTAATAACAGTATTTATGACTATTTAACAATGTTGCCATGAACAAAGATGCTGACAATACAGTTGGCGACTGTCATAACAGCTTGATCAACAATTTTCATAATACGCTTTTTATTTTTTTTAGGTATCTCTTTAATTGTGGAGAAGGAACTCAAAGAATTGCAAATGAGCACAAGTTAGTATGTCAATGTAACTCTTAAACCTTGATTATCCTTGCTGATTTGTAAACAGGACTTCTGTTTTGATGTATGAATTGTTTGATAGGCATTACTTAGAAGTTGACAGATGACAAAGTAGACACAATTTATGGATAACAACTTCTTTTATACTGTAAAGGCGACGTTTCGGTATAGATCCTTATACCGTTGTCAAGTTGTCTTGACAACGCTATAACTTATAGTATAAGGACTAATACCGAAACTTTGTGTTTTGATGTATTCACATCATTTACATTAATACAATGTCCTCAGCTTGAAGATCTGACCACACCTCCATAAAAGGTTGTATCAGGTGAACTTGATCTAAGTGAAGGATGCATGGATTATTGAGCCAATCAGATGTCTGCTTTCTAAAAGTAGTCAAATATTTGGACTTTATTTCTTCACCACCTCGATTTAGAAATTTCAACCCAAAGACAACATAAATTTTCCTTTAATGGTTCTCTCATTTGAGCTTGAAGTCCTTTGCATGCAAAAACAACTGGCTGTCTAAATATTCACAGCTGTGAGAGCATGGTTTTTTTAATCTCCATACAGAACTTGTAAATTTAGTTTGTTTTCAAGATACAGAAATAAGATATGCTGGTCTGAATGCTTTGCACGTTCATAATGAGAATTTAGAAGCTTCATTGGCTGATTAGGTTCGGTGCTCGTGCAATCAACCACTAGTCTGCCTGACCCAGATGATTCAGCCACCATGATATAGCTGGAATATTGCTGACTGGCGTAAAACAACATTCAGTCACTCACTGGCCATTCATGTGAACAATTCCAAACAACTTTGATCTTACAGTCATTATTTCAGTTACATTACCAATGCTCGGGAGTCAAAATTACATTTGTTTTAGCCGATAATCTTCTATATTCAACTGGGGGCATGGGTGGCCCAGTCGTCTAAGGAGCTGCGATTCGCTGTGCAGAGTTGTGTCCCCTGGGCACGCCAGAAACCTATGTTTGTGGGTTCGAATCCCGGTTAGCCTTGATTATGTTTCTAGGTTTGTCAGCACCATACCTGTGCTTTTGGGTTTCACCGAAGTGGTAAACGCCTAATACCTGCATCACTTCGGACTTTCCTCCCACATTAAGCTGACAGGCCGTGATATGACTGGAATTCTGTTCAAAGCGGCGTTAAACCCCACTCATTCATTGGCTGATTAGAAAGTTCACCTGATTTGACCTCCTATGGAGCATCTCTTAAATCTTGACGAAGAAAGGTGTTCTGTCAGTATGAAACATCAAATTTTAGTTTGACATTCCAAACCACAAGATGGAACCAAACACTCTTTGAAGATACTCATTTCTCTCAGTAACCTGATTGAAAATATTTATTTATTTGATATCAGCAGTTATTTTAACACTTGTTATCGCAATAAATGCTAAATTCCATAACATTAAACATGCAACATTGTACATCACCATGTTGTGTAAGCTGAATGATATGTTCATTGTCACCAGGGTAAAACTTGCTAAACTGGAAAACATTTTCATCACATACAAGAGTTGGGACAATATTGGAGGATTACTAGGTGAGTTTTGCTGTAAACAATATCATATACTGAAAAAACAAAGTTAGGGATCATGTATGTTTTTGAGGATATTCTTATGAAATTGTGTGCTCATTCTTCACTCCAAAAATATCCCCAAAATATTCATGATCCGTGACTTCTGTTGCAACTGTGTGACACACCCGTTAAGATCCGGGTTGGAATTGGTCTTCAGCTGTTTAAATCTCAGAGGTGTTGCCAAATCTGTGTATGCAAACTGTTCATCAGAACAGAAAACAGATTTCACATTGCTAATTGATCAGCTAAAGAGAAAAAGAGAACTTCAAATTGCAATTCAGTTCAAGACGAAGGAAAAGATTGGTTGGTTGGTTTGTTGTTTAACGCCGCACTCAGCAATATTCCAGCTATATGACGGCAGACTGTAAATAATCAAGTCTGGACCAGACAATCCAGTGATTAATATCACGAGCATCGATCCACACAATTGGGATCAATGACATGCATCAACCAAGTCAGAGAGCCTGACCACCCGATCCCGATAGTCGCCTCTTACGACAACACGCATAGTCGCCTTTTACGGCAAGCATGGGTTGCTGAAGACCTATTCTACCCCGGATCTTCATGGGTCAATTCATTGGAGGAATGCCATCATATAGCTCGCATATTGCTGAGTGCAGCGTTAAACAACAAACAAACCATTGGAGGAATAGAACCACATGAACTAGAGGTGAAACGATACAACGGTGCATTTTGAGTTTTCATGTGACGATACGATACGATACAAGGCATCCTTTTTCTGTATCGATACAAAATGATACACAGTGTTTTTGTCAGTCAGATATCACAAAACGTTTTGTAATTAGTGTTTCAGGTTCACTTCTAAAAATAGTCACCACAAACATGTGTCTACAGCTAGCTTTTCCTTTTGAACCTATTCTGAAAATATTTTTGGCAAGTTTCCATGCGATTTGACGTAAATATGCGCAACAAAATACATATTGTATCGTGACCTATGTATCACGATACATACCGTATCAAGACCTTGCTGTGTTGTTTCACCCCAAACATGAACTTAAAATGGCTATTAGCCATAGCACGCCTGATAAGGTGGATGAAGCTTTGAGGATTGGGAAATTAAAGAAAAGACTAATCAAAGAGAGGGTAGTAGGGGTGTTGTAGTGGTTCTGATATTCTTCCTCTCAGTCACTACAGGTTGGGGGCGTCGGGTAGCCCAGTGGTTAAAGCGTTCGCTCGTCTCGCCGAAAACCCGGGTTCGATTCCCGACATGGGTACAATGTGTGAAGCCCATTTCTGGTGTCCCCTGCCGTGATATTGCTGGAATATTGCTAAAAGCGGCGTAAAACCATACTCACTCACTCACCACTCACTACAGGTGGCCATTACACAACACCAGAAACAGAGTGAAATGCTGTAAGAGAAAATGGAAACGTTGTTCGCGTAAGAGTCCTCCAGTTCAGGATATGAACAAAGATATTGGTCCAGGAATCAAACCAGATGCTGTAGCTGTCAAGGTTTGGGACACATTGCAGAAAATAGTGGGGGTTACCTACAATAATTAAACAAGTAGGAGCTGAAGTTAAAGTCAGTTCTGATGCAGAAATATTTTCATGTTTCACCTGTTATACAAGAGACTTGCAGTAAGGGAGCAGTTTAAGCTGTGACCCATGAAGATCTGGGGTAGAATAGGTCTTCAGCAACCCATGCTTGCTGTAAAAGGTGACTATACTTGTCGTAAGAGGCTACTAACTGGATCAGTTGGTCAAGCTCGCTGACTTGGTTTATGCATGTCATCGTATCCCAATTTTCGTAGATCGATGCTCATGATGTCAATCACTGTATTGTCTGGTCGAGACTCAATTATTTACAGACCGTCGGTATATAGCTGGAATATTGCTGAATGCGGTGTTAAACAACAAACAAACAGACAAATAAACAAACTAACATATAAGCTGTGTTGTACTTGTTTTCATTGTTTGTTACCAACATCATGTATCATTTCATTTATTGTTTTTATTTCAATTTTTTGATGATAAATGATTGCTGTTGCATTTGCAGGTATGTCCTTGACCCTCGATGGTATCAATGTTCCGAAGATCAACATACATGGAGCTCCTGGAGTGGTTAGTTCTTCACAAATGTAGACATTAAGTGTACCTCATGGCATGCCAAAATATATTTAGCTGTGTCCTGTAGGAGTTGGATTTAAATGTGTCAAGGAGAAGAATATTTCCTTGTACTGAAAGAAATGATGTTTTTTGAAATACTGAGAAGTTCAAGGTCACTCAGAGGCTGGATACTTTGTGGATGGGATTGTCACCTAATGTAGTACAAAGTTTGTTCAAGACATATTCTACCTGTGAAGATTCAGGTTAGAATAGGTCTTCAGCAACCGATGCTTGCTGTAAAAGGCGACTGTGCTTGTCGTCAGAGGCATCTTAACGGGATCGGGTGGTCAGGCTCACTGACGTGGTTGATGCATGTCATTGTAACTGAATTGTGTTGATCGATGCTCATGATCTCAATTACTGGATTGCCTGGTCTAGACTCGATTATTTACAGACTATAGTCTTATATAGCTGGAATATTGCTGTGTGTGGCAAACAAACAAGACATATTCAACAAAAATCAATTATTGCTGCCAATAGCCATATTGGAAAGTACAAAAAGAAAGTCGTCTTTCGTAAGCATCTTCTTGACCAATGACCATTACCAGGATTACGAAGCTGAAACTTCACATACACATGCTTGATCTCACCAGTAGTGACACCTAAATTTGTTTGAGAGGTTTGAATCCGATACTCAATATGGCCACCAAAGCAGCCATATTGAAACAAATATTTATGGCCAAAACTCCGTCATTTTTAGTCATGTTTGCTACATGTGTTGTTAGCAGTTGGGCTTAACATATGTGGTCAGTTTTTTTTCGACATTTTAAATTGTGACCTTGAGTTGACCTTTGAACTTTGATCATATTGAAAGCTGAAACTTCTTATGGCCACACGTTTCCTTGTACTGTAAACATCATCTCTTCAGAAATCATTCAACCAATGAACATGGTGAAGCTTCACATGCTTATTTCCACCAGTTAAAACATCTGAATTTGTTTAAGAGGTTTGAATCTGATTTTCAGTCATCTTCCCGAGGCAAGAGAGTAAACTGACTATTAAAGTCCAGTTTCCACCCTTGCTGAACTAGGCTGGAATTATGGAGTTACATTTTGACTGGACTAACGAGTCTATGCATAGTCCAATCAAAATCTCGCAACAAAATTGAAATCCAGTTCGTTAACTGTTGTGCAGATTTCAGTCGATTGTAGGATTTGCAATGCATGTACACCGCTAACTCGTCAACAGTTATTTTCCAAATCTTTTCAGGTTTTTAAAAAAGGTGCTCACGTGATTTGATGCACTTTGCAATGTAAGACCCGTTTTATCACAATATAGATGTTGATTATTGATCAAATCGTCTTGACAGGGCGCCACCATTTTGTTTGAAACAAATGCAAGTCATACGAGAAGTGGAATCTGATTGGTCCATAGGAGTCATAGAAGGGACATAACTCGTAATAACCACTGGTGGCGCTACGATCGAGCCGAGGAATTTCAGCCTAGTTCGGCAAGGGTGGAAACTGGACTTTTAAAGTCAGTTAACTCTCTTGGCTTGGGAAGATGATTTTCAGTATGGCTGACATGACACCTATATTTAAACCCTATATAAGGCCACTGCTCTGCCATTTCTCCTAAGAATGTATTGTAATGCTCTTAAATTCCGTCAAAATGTATTTTTGGCTCTGTAAACATTTAAACATTTCCCAATTCATGTTAATATAATTAATGTTATGGCTTTGTAGATGTGGCTTGTATTTCACTGATGATACAACCAATGTAGAAGAAGGGGCTTTGATGCTTAGTGTAACATCATTGTGTTGAATGCAATGTTAAGGTTCAAATTAAAATACCTCTGAATTTAGGAAAACAAGAACCCTTTTTAAAAATCCCAAAATTGAACAAAATCAGTATTTTTTCCCATTTTCCCAATGGTACTGAGTTTAGAATCCAAGAGTAAACTTATAACAACATAAAATGTTTTTGCATCTGTCTGTCTTGAAGCTGTTTTTTACCCTGACTTGTTTTATTGCTTTCCAGGAGAATATCACCAAGTCCTACAAAAACTTTACAGCTGCTTACACTACCATTGCTCAACTAGGTGAGTGGGTTGCTGTTTTCATTGCTACTGGTAAACTGATAAACGTGTTAAAGTAAGCAGGGGATACCCAAATTTGTCCTAATCAGAGCATGTTAGTGTCATTCACAATGGTTTGAGGCTAACATTCTTTCTCTGGCACATCAATACGATCTCAGCAAATGTTGCCCATCCTGAAGGTGTTGTTATAAAAGGTTTTCCATGCCTTGAGATTTATTAGTATTGAGATGAGAACCTGTGAGAATGAGAAATTGCTTTGAAAAGTACCCTGAATTACGGCATTGTGACTTTATTAAGAAAAAAAAGGAAATGAAAACTACAAGTACCAGTAATTAGATCCTTATTGTGAATGCTTACTTTTTTCATTGTTCAAAAGTTACTGTATTCTATGTAATAAGCGCCCAGGGCACTCTCAAAATTAGATATAGAGTGCTTTTATTAGAATATTATTTTGGTGAAAAAAAAACAGAGTTGAAAGATCGTAAATTTCGTGGCTTATGCTGACAGCCTGAAATGTTCACATATGACAGCTATATTTTTGCAGAATTTAATTGCCCATAATTAAGGGTACATATAACACACGAGTGCGTATTATACACGAATAATTAAGTCTTGTGTACATTGATCAATTGGAAGGGGTGCTGATTGGGATTGTTCACAAGCCAATATATTTGCAAATATCGCAGCGGGCGCTTATTACGTCGAATACGGTAATTACATCTATGCGCAACAAATTATTTGAATGACAATTAATTCACCAAGAACTACCAACATTTGTGGGTCAGATGATTGTTGAAAACACCTGATGTCATTAGAACATATGGTGTCACGGATAGACTGCACATCATACACAAAACAGCTTTTCTGCCTGAAACTTGGACCCAAGAATGTGTGTGTGTGTGTGTGTGCATTGCGTTGAAGGAAATAGGGTAAGCTGTAACTAGCCATTACACCATTGCTGTCATACTTTGTGAAATCCAGGATACCTTGACACGTACCAAGTTTTATTAACAATGTTCATTGTAGAAAATAAGTTGCCTGTTACACTGTCAGAATGGATAGGGCATCATTTTCAGGAAATGGTTCCATAATTACTTCTTTATTAGTGTTAATGGTGAATGTTCTTGTGTTTTTTGCAATGAAAGTGCTTGACACTACCTATTTACTTGTTTACTGAGATTAGATCTGAAACTATTACTTTGTTAATGGATATGCCCTTTGAACCGTCCTGTTTGGCAACGTCAACCAGGACAAAGAAATACTTCTTAATATCATTGATTCTGTTCATCATTACTTCTCTATGAGCAAAAGATTTGTATAAATATGCACTCTTACATATATTTCTTCAACAACTGTTTACCTTTGATGTACCTCATGTGACATAGTATCTAGTACAGTGATCCCTCGATATACCGCTGTCATCGGGGTCCAAGAAACTGACCCCGCGGTGTAGGAAAGAGCGGTGTACAGATATTCCTTGCTGAGGTTCACATTACATAATGATGGTAGTGAATGGAACAGTGGAGCAACAGTGGCATGGGACATGTAGATCTATGTAACACTGATCGGGGACGATGATTCAAACTGCATGCGTAAAAAAATAAAAATACTTTGTGTAAATTAATCAAAGTAGTCTGTATTATTTTACGACTGGATGTTGTACATGTAGAATCTAAATAAATGTTGTTATATTTTAAGTTTTAAGTATAACATAGTAATGCAGGACAAGTATACAAATGTAAAACATATTTAGAATTTACAAAGTTTATATTACTGTATAACATATATAACACTACTGCTGCTTGTTCGAACTTTGATGGGGAGAGATATTTGTATAGGCTTTGCCTGTTTGTCAATCCCCTTTCACTGTTCCAAGTGGAAATAAATATTGTTTTAAACCAAAGGCAAATGTCTGACAGAATCTGTTTGATGGTGATTTTAGTGTGGCTAATGTGTGGGCATGCTTCTGGGTTGTGATAAGATGACTGGCAGTGTTGATGACAGCTGGACATGCAACAGTACAGCATTCCCAGTGTATGCAGGCACCTCATGTTTTTGTCACTCATACTTGAAGCCTTGGTGATCCGGGGTAGAATAGGTCTTCAGCAACCCATGCTTGTGATAAAAGGCGACTAACGGGATCGGGTGGACAGGCTCGCTGACATGGTTGATGCATGTCATCGATCCCGATTGCGTGGATCGATGTTCATGATGTAAATCACTGGATCGTCTGGTCCAGACTCGATTATTTACAGACCGCCGTCATATAGCTGGAATATTGCTGAGTACAACAAACCAAACCAAGGTTACAGTCACCATATCAACAAAGTCGACAATTACAGGTCCACCTGCCAATTTTCAACGAGGGAGTTCTTGGAGTTTAACGACCACTTCAGACACAGTCTAATTCACAGTCAGGTGGGGGTAAATTTGGAAATTTAAAATGGGGCAATAGGATGAAAACACCTGACCCAAAATACTAGTGATATATATAGAATACTAAACGAGCTCCCGTGTAATACCAATTTTATGAAACGAGTGAATAGTTCTGGTATCTGACGAGCGAAAGCGAGTCAGATACCACAACTATTCACGAGTTTCATAAAATTGGTTTTACACGAGAGCGAGTTTAGTATTTTATTTATTACTTGTCATTTATAATGTTTTTAAAATTATACTGTTGAGTGTAAATAGGCTGACACCTACACGATCCATGGCATAATCCAATTGAGTTTAACAGAATAATACTTCAAACATGTCAAAAGTTGAAACGTATGAATTTAATATCATACAATGGTCCACCTTTAGAATTCAGGCGTTCGTCCCACAAAATTATCGTAGTGCTAAGGCTATCACAACTCACATAATTTAACTTAGACTAACGACTGTCGTTGCGCTAGAGTACGATCGCCTTGTGGAACGGGGCCTTGCACCTCAACGTTTACAATCACGTCACAATACCCGATGACGTAATTTGTGGAATTTTGTTGCAAGATCCATCGGCGAAACAATGCCATGTGACGTCAGCCTAGCAACAAGGTTGCTGGGGTCATCGAGTGTGCATAAGCTCCTCCCAGTGATCTATCATCTCCACACACAATGTCGTTGAATACGCCAAGGGATGTTGAGAGCTTTCAATATTTGTTCGTGAAACGTGTTCCGAGAGTACATAAGCACGCGATTTGGTATTACACAATGTGTAATAAAGCTGTATGTTTATTAAACGGGTGATCTCTTCACGGGCAAGTAATAAATAGAGAATATTATATGAGCGTTCATGTCATACTATGTTTAGGCACTAGTGTTGTATACATAGTATGAGATGAACATGAATATAATGTTCTATTTAATAACGAAGAAGATATCCACATACAGAGACAAATTTGAGTATTTATCTATAAGTCAGCAAGTCACAACAGCAGCGGAACCACAATTTGTCGAATGACGTCAACCATCTTCAGCTACGACGTCGTTTCTAGTGTGACGTCATTCCAACCTGACGTCACAATAAGATTCGAATGATGTCAACTCTGCTGTCGGGATGACGGAAACAATACACCGTGTCTCGTGATGGATATCAACCTAGGGCACATATGATTTTTATGAACCCCTATATGTTTACCCTTGTAGGTAATAAGGAAGTGTAGGTATATGGAGATTGGACAAAACAAATAATAAAAATATGTATAAAAGGTTAGAGTAAAACATAGAGAGAAAACAAAATAAAGAAAAATAGTGACAAAGCAAAAATAATGAAAATTTGCTATTGAGTTGTTTCTGTTATTTATATACTATAAACTACATGTACGTCTCATTTTGTTACTTGTTAACTGGTGACTGCAAATGTCTTAATTATGTAATTACAATTTACAGACTTAAATTTCAGTGAACTGAGTTTTCTCACAAGTTAGTTTTCATCTGGTGAATACAATTCACTTGATCATGGATACACATTTATCCTAAGTTGAGTTCACGAACGACTGTGAGTGTGTTCGGCAGGACCCCTGAGCTTGTATTGATTTATTTAAACATATATTTATTCAATGAGTCTGAATCAATAAACAATCCAAAAGGTATGTTAATACCTCTCAAGTACAAGTTGTATTCATGAAGGCATTAAACAAACAAATACATGATGATGAACTAAAATACGTTCACAAAAGTAAGTGGTCATAGACAACAGTTAGGTGTAATGAGTAGAAGATTGATATATATGTGGGATTTACAGTCTCACGTTAGTTTAATCCTTTTGTAATGAAGTATGTATGAACATACTGTTTTTAAGATATCTAGATTAGTAGGTTTTGTAAAATTAGCATTACCATTCAATATAGTATTAAGATCAACTCCCTCAGAGTAGAGACCCGTGAAGATCTGGGATAGAATAGGTCTTCAGCAACCCATGTTTACTGTAAAAGGCGACTATGCTTGTCGGAAAAGGCGACTAATGGGATCGGGTGGTCAGGCTCTCTGACTTAGTTGATGCATGTCATCGTATCCCAATTGCGTGGATCGATGCTCATGATATTAATCACTGGATTGTCTGGTCCAGACTCGATTATTTACAGACTGCCGTCATATAGCTGGAATATTGCTGAGTGTGGCGTAAAACAACAAACCAACCAACCAACCTCAGAGTAGAAGAATGAATAATTTCTTACATCATTGTGAAAGGGACAGGAAAAGAAATAATGTGATACATTTTCATATATATGTGTCCACAAGAACAACCTGTTTTGTCAAACTTTGATATTTGACCAAAGCAGTCAGTTAGGCAACACATTTTTATTTTTAGGTTTACAGATATGACTTACTCAGCAAAAACTGCAAATATGACTTATAATTTTTTTCTCTTAAATTCCCAACCTTCAGCGAATACATGTGTATTAGTAGAAAACAAAACAAATATTATTTAATCTGATTAACTGATTACAAAATATGGCATAACTAAAAGTCTGTGAAACAATGTCACAGGAATTGTAAACGACCACTGGCAACTAATTTTTCAGACCAACCCTCCAACTCATAAGACATGATTGGGATAAGCATGATAAGAAGGCGGTGAACAGAATTTAGGAAAACGTATTTGGCTTGTTACAGGTAGAGAAGTTGTATGCCTGATGAAATTGACTTCTCCCGTGGACACGTGTTGCTCATAAGACTATTGAACTCACCACTCAAACTCATTGTTAGCTGAAACAGTAGATGCACATATCCACCGTACTACCACTCATGGACTACTTGCTACCTCTTTCTTCACAATGGTACACGCCAGTGGGCAGATCTCATACATAGTCATACAAGGTTAAATATAAGGTTATAACTCAACAAGGCAATGGATTGAAATTTTTAATGAAATACAGTTCTGAAAAAGAATAATAAATACAAATCCTTACAAATGGCAACATATGTAGTGAAGAAGAGCTGTGTGTCATGTCTGCATTACAATTTCTCCCTTTTTTTCTAGAGAAAAGAGAACTGAGTGAGGGTGATTTTTCCGACTCTGCAATAAAGGTAGAGTACATACCTCTATACAACAGGGAGACACCAGGGGATGCCACCAGTTGGGACCACACCAAGGATGGAGAAGAGGCTGTTGCTGACGAGCCAGGTGATTTTGACAAACCTGGCTTTATTTACTGATGCAAGAGTAGCTCTTGCTGAAATGATAATTGATGATTTGTTTGTCAGAATCAGTTACTCCTTTTTTTATAAAGTTATTTTTCCATATTTTGGTGTTGATGATAAAGTTCCAAAAGAAGGGAAGAGGCCTAATTTTGTGACCTTGTTGTTTGTCCCCCATAGATCACCATCATAATCGCCTTTTACGGCAAGCATGGGTTGCTGAAGACATATTCTACCCCGGATCCTCACGGGTCACTCGTATTATATGCTTGGGATTTGGTGCCTTCATGATCGGCTAGTCATGTCTCTATTTTGTCTTCCTTCAGAAACGAAGAGACCAAGGTCATTAAAGGATGTGGATGACATAGCAGTGGCTTACTTGTGCCAGGTATGTTGTTTGATAGAAGTGTAAACAACTGAATAAAGTATCAATGCATTGTGTCTGTCTATTGCCCCATACCAACATAAAGGTGTGAAGAAAAATATCAATATGTCAAATGCCGTGCTACACTATCCAGAGCATCTGTACACATAATCATGACACCGTAATGAAAAATACTAGCCCTTGCATTTATGTCCATTTTATTTTTCAAGCTTCATCCACGGAAAAGGAAGATTAACTTGGAAAAATGTGTTGATCTTGGAATAAAGACGTGAGTTATTATCTCCCTGGAGTGTTTAGAAGAATGGGATTCACATGCATGATCAATTTGTGAATATTGTTTTGTTCTCTCTTGAGTGAGTGAGTGAGTGAGTTGGGTTTAACGCCGCTTTTAACAGTATTCCAGCTATATCGCGGCGTATCAGCTTAATGTGGGAGGAAAGCCCGAAGTGATGCAGGTCTCAGACGTTTACCACTTCGGTGAAACCCACGCGCAAGGGTATGGTGCTGACAAACCTAGAAACATAATCAGGGCGAACCAGGATTCGCACTCACAATCATAGGTTTCTGGCATGCCCAAGGGACGCAACTCTGCACAGCGAATCGCAGCGCCTTAGACGACTGAGCCACCCGTGCCCCCTGTTCTCTCTTGATCAAAGATCTTTTAGTAATCTTCACTTTGGCTCACCAGTATCATATGTGTGGCTTGATGCACTCAAAACACAAAGATATGTTTTCTGTTTATGTTTTTATTATTTTGGCTAAAGTGCTGAGTTCTAAAAAATTAAAATACTTTGACGACAGCCAATAACATTTGAATAATAGTCTGATGTCGTGTTGATTCAGGGTGTTACCTTATGTTGATGTATTTAGTATGATTTCAAGCCTAATGTTGATCTTAGTGACTGTGCATGGAGGTTCTTGTATTGCAGGGGACCGTGCTTGGGACAGCTGGTGGAAGGCCATTCCGTGACGCTGGATGACGGCAGAGTGGTATGTGACGTACAGTTGTGTGTGAATGAGTTTTACATGGCGATAACCTGAACTAGTTATGGTTGGCATTGTTATATTTATTTAGTCTTTCTTATAGACCCTAAAGCCTATATTTTATAAAACAATGTAATTCTCACCATACCCCATTCTCATTGCCTTTTCAGATATAACCGTGTCCTGATCTCATCTGCTTCTCAGCTAAAGCACTCCAGTCTCATGACCTTCTCAACTCTAGCACCCCATTCTCATGACCTTCTCAACTCTAGCACCCCATTCTCATTAACTTCTCAGATCTGGCACCCCATTCTCATGACCTTCTCAACTTTAGCACCCCATTCTCATGACCTTCTCAACTCTAGCACCCCATTCTCATTACCTTCTCAGATCTGGCACCCCATTCTCATTACCTTCTCAGATCTGGCACCCCATTCTCATGGCCTTCTCAACTCTAGCACCCCATTCTCATTGTCTTCTCAACTCTAGCACCCCATTCTCATGGCCTCAACTCTAGCACCCCATTTTCATGACCTTCTCAACTCTAGCACCCCATTCTCATGACCTTCCCAGCACTAGCACCCCATTCTCATGACCTTCTCAACTCTAGCACCCCATTCTCATGACCTTCCCAGCACTAGCACCCCATTCTCATGACCTTCTCAACTCTAGCACCCCATTCTCATGACCTTCCCAGCACTAGCACCCCATTCTCATGGCCTTCTCAGCACTAGCACCCCATTCTCATGACCTTCTCAACACTAGCACCCCATTCTCATGACCTTCTCAACACTAGCACCCCATTCTCATGACCTTCTCAGCACTAGCACCCCATTCTCATTGCCTTCTCAGCACTAGCACCCCATTCTCATTGCCTTCTCAGCACTAGCACCCCATTCTCATGACCTTCTCAACACTAGCACCCCATTCTCATGACCTTCTCAACACTAGCACCCCATTCTCATTGCCTTCTCAGCACTAGCACCCCAGTCTCATGACCTTCTCAACACTAGCACCCCATTCTCATGACCTTCTCAACACTAGCACCCCATTCTCATTGCCTTCTCAGCACTAGCACCCCATTCTCATGACCTTCTCAACACTAGCACCCCATTCTCATGACCTTCTCAACACTAGCACTCCATTCTCATTGCCTTCTCAGCACTAGCACCCCATTCTCATGACCTTCTCAACACTAGCACTCCATTCTCATTGCCTTCTCAGCACTAGCACCCCATTCTCATGACCTTCTCAACACTAGCACTTCATTCTCATTGCAAGAGAAAATTCTTCATGCAAGAGGAAAAGGTTTAAAAATCCATCCTCATTGTCTGGCCATTGCTCCACCTAACACCCATGTCAGACCTGAGACAGGGTATAGTGAGCTTATGCATGATGCTGAAACGCTGTTGTAAGCGTCACTGATACCACAGAATATGAAAGTTAATGGGGTCAAAAAGAAGTTCCTTCAGAATACCAGTCTTTAATAAACATGGCCTCTATATTTGAAAGATCAGTTAGCCCATTACACAGTCATGCATGTATTATTTTGAAATTTAATAAGCAATATGGGTGTGGTGTGTCTAATAACATCACATTTGCTTTTAGAGTATGTTTGTTTTGGCCCTGCTTTGACATTTCACTGGGATGCATGCCAAAAACTTATAGAACAGCCTCTCAGAAATCAATGAGTTTATTACTGATCACATAAGTTTGAAATATAAAAAAACCCATTCAGGCAAGCTAAAGAATCTCATGGCTGTATCTTTTTATTTATCAGCATCTTGGACCCGAGAAGATCTGGGGTAAAATAGGTCTTCAGCAACCCATGCTTGCCATAAAAGGCGACTAAGATTCGACAAAAGGGATCGGGTGCTCAGGCGCACTGACTTGGTTGATACATGTCATCGTGTCCCAAATGCATGGATTGATGCTCATGATGTCAATCAATGGATCGTCTGGTCCAGACTCAATTAATTTTCAGACCGCCGTCATATAGCTGGAATATTGCTGAGTGAGGCGTTAAACAACAAACAAACAAAAACAAATATCACACCTTGTGTCTGATTGTCATGTCAGAAAAAGACAATAGAAATACTATTGTTGAAGAAAGGGACACAACTCCAGGCAATTAGGTTTTAATCTGGAATATGTTAGAAGACTGGCACTGACTCCTTTTAACATGTTTAATTTCTTCTCGTTCTTATCAGTTTTGCCCTATATTTATCCAGAAGTGGGGCGGGGGATATTGCAACGGAGTGTGAATGTCAGTCCTACCGTCCGTCTGCTTCTCAAAAGGGACAACTTTTCTCAAACAGTATTTAAGTCAGAGAAATGAAATTTTACACACTTATTTTACTGGTCATGAACTCAAATGAGTTTGAAAATTGGTGTCATCAATTCATTTCTTTACAGAGTTATGGCCCTTGCTTCATGCTTTCCAACTCAGTGCATACTGTGTTCAATGGGGACGCATGCTTATGTAAGAGATACTTGTCAAGACTTGAGTTCGGCATGTTGCTTTTATTCAGTATGTGTTGTCAGGTTCATCCAGATCAGGTCTTAAACCCAGAGGAGAAGAAACAGCAAATACTGGGTAAGTTTGATTACAGTGTTCTCTGCTGTGAAATTGCAGCACTGCTGCTCTCGGGACGAAATGTGGCATGTAACTTCACCATCACTCCCCAATGACGTCATTACTATAATCTTGACCGTGACTTTAAACCCTACTTCACCTCAACCAATGTGTTAATTGTTAAAGACATGATTCAATTAATTCACTTTTCAGTTAAATACAATTAATCAAATAATGAACATAAATCTTGTCTTTGAATGACATGCATGTATCTCAGCCAAATATCAAATAACCTGTATCTACAACGTAGACACAACTTATGGATAACAACTTCTTTAATTACTGTTAGGACGACGTTTCGGTAAAGATCCTTACAGCGGTAGAAACTAACATTTATAGTTGACTAGAGTTAACTGATAATGATAACATATAGCAAAACCCTTAATAATGGAAAATTTGTGCTAGTCGTTTTGATACCTTAACTAATTGGCAGTTTGGCAAGGACTATAGGACTTGTGCCAATTTCTAATGCTGCCTTATACCGTTGTCAAGCAAGAGTTTTGGTACAGATCCTTATACTGTTGTCAAGCAAGACTCTTGCCATCTTCACAGGGCAAGAGAGTTAACTGACTTTAAAAGTCCAGTTTCCACCCTTGCCGAACTAGGCTTGAATACCTGGGCTCAATCATAGTGCCACCAGTGACTATTACAAGTTATGTCCCTTCTAAGCCTCTCCTGTGGACCAAACAGATTCCACCCCTCTTATCACTTGCATTTGCTTCAATGACGGCACCCAGTCAAGATGATCTGATCAATAATCAAGATCTATATTGTGATAAAACGGGTCTCACATCGCGAAATGCATCAAATCACGTGAGCACCTTGATTAAAAACATGAAAAGATTTGGAAAATATCTGTTGAGGCCAAGTTGGTGGTGCACATGCTTTGCAAATTCTGCAATCGACTGAAATCTGCACGACAGTTAACGAACCGCATTTCGATTCCGATGCGAGATTTTTATTGGACTATGCATTGAGTCGTAGTCCAGCCAGAATGTAACTCCATAATACCAGCCTAGTTTCGGCAAGGGTAGAAATTGGCCTTTTATAGTCAGTTAACTCTCTTGCCTCGGGAAGATGGACTCTTGCTTGACAACAGTGTGATTATCTGTACCAAAACGTCCCGACCCGTGAAGATTCCGGGGTAGAATAGGTCTACAGCAACCCATGCTTGCTGTAAAAGGTGACTATGCTTGTCATAAGAGGTGACTAACGGGATCAGGTGGTCAGGCTCGCTGACTTGGTTGATGCATGTCATCGATCCCAATTGCGTGGATTGATGCTCATGATATCAATCACAGGATTGTCTGGTCCAGACTCAATTATTTACAGACCGCCGTCATATAGCTGGAATATTAAACAACAAACCAACCAACCAACCAACCAACCAACCAACCAAAACGTCCCCCTTACAGTAATAAAAGAAGTTGTTATCCATAAATTGTGTCTACTTTGTCATCTGTCAACTTCTAAGTAATGTCTATCAAACAATTCAACCTGTGCCTCCTGTCTGGGTTGGTGACAGTTGTGGAGTGTCCACACACTGGGTTCCTGGCACCACTGACGTCCTGCTCCCGACTACAAGAGCTGCAGAGTTCCGACAGTGTGGAGGTGATTGTGCACATGTCCCCAGCAGACATCATACAGACAGAGCACTATCAACAGTGGATGCACAGGTCAGCCCACTAGTACTTCAGTGCAGATGAAGCCTTTTGCTTGTTATTGGTTGCTTTCCAATATTTTGGCCAAAATTCAATGGTAGGGGTGGGAATTTTGTTTTTGATTTTAAACTTTCAAATTAATGTACTATTTATCATGTTTATGAATGAAAAACAAACGTTTTTTAACTTGGGGGGACATTGACTTGGTGTTGGTATGTGATACTAGTTGCAGCTGATTAAATCATCTTTACACACCTCACATATTTGCAAGCACAAGTTAAGGAAAGTTAACAGTCGTAACACAGTTTTGTTATGTTGAAAGGGTTTATTAACCAACTTCTAACAAACAAAGGCCTTATATCTATAATTGCAGACAGCCCTCAACTCGCATATTGTCACTGAAATGTGGTACAAGACATGGCTGTGTCTAAAGAAGATAATATGAGATTTTGAAATTGTTACCTAAATGCAATATGTGAACATCCAAAGAATACTCAGAGGATGATTTTGAACGGAATGATCTTTCAGTTAGTATTTTGTGTACTTTTCCTTTGGGTCATTGGGTAGCCCAGTGGTTAAAGCGTTCGGTCGTCACGCCGAAAGGCCCTGGTTTGATTCCCAACATGGGTACATTTGAAAGTCCATTTCTGGTGTCCCCTGCCATGATATTCCAGGAATATTGCTTAAAGCAGCTTAAAAGAAATACTCACTCACTTTTCCTTTTGAATAGATTTGGATCGACTACACAGCATATTATCATCAACAGCACCAACTCGGATGTTTCCCATCTAGAGCTGTATTCAATACAAGCCAAGTTAAACCTACTCCATCCCACAATATTCCCGCTATTGCCTCAGTTCATGGCTCCGACACAGCCTGGAGTGGATGATGCATCAGATTCTCACCCATTCACGGTCAGGGGCCACACGTGTCTCAAGTATCAACTGCGGCCAAAGAATGAACTCTGCAGGTACATGTTGATTGTAAGAGATGGCCAAGGAATTATGGCCAAGGACTTTGTGCATCCAACCAGTCTCATTGGCGGATCCGACCCGTGAAGGTTTGGGGTAGAATAGGTTTTCAGCAACCCATGCTTGTCACAAAAGTCGACTATGCTTGTCGTAAGAGGCGACTAACTGAATAGGGTGGACAGGCCCACTGACTAGTTTGATGCATGTCATCATATCCCAGTTGTATAAGTCAATCCTCATGATATCAATCACTGGAATGTCTGGTCCAGACTCGATTATTTACAGACCACCATCATATAGCTGGAATGTTACTGAGTGCGAGGTTAAACAACAAACAAACAAACAAAATCACTTGAGGATCCAGAGGGAGGGGCACAGGGTGCCTCCATCCTTTTTAAGACAACTTGCGTGTCAATCTGTGACAACCAGTGTTCTGGGTCTACTTACATTCATCTGAACCATAAACAATAATCTACTGTCTTAAATTTGGAACTACTTCATGTGCCCTGACATACAACACTGTATCTTTGATGATTTGACTGTGAGTCCAGGATTAACACATGTCTCACATCATACTGGCAATCAAGTGAATAATAATGTGTCGTTGAAGTACTTACGATACATGACAGTATGAGTTGTGCTGTGAAAACAAATACTTACCAGTGATATTACAATCCGGCTAAAAATGGGTTGACCATATATTGAAACATCTTTTGCACTGCTGTGGAAATAAATACACTACAAATTCTTATATTTCCATTTTATTTTTTAAGAAGGATGCCAGCATAGTGTTTGAACCAATAGGTTCTGTTTTTCAGTTTCAAGATGATTAAGCTTAGAATACAGGCACAATCAAACCTGTCACATCTGTCAGTCATTTAAGAATACTGCTTATTGTCAGATGATAATTCACTGAACTCTATTTGATGTTATTCGGTATCAAGTCCGTATACATGAAAACATACAGAACAGTAAACACACATGTCCATGCTGTATTTTCCAGAGACCAGTGTTTCCAGCTGGACAGAGAACAGTTTGTGAAGGAGGCGATGGACATGCCCAATGTCCCACAGTTGATAGAGGATGTTAACAGTAGGCTAAAACAACAATCCACAGATGGTACGTTCACTAAATGTGAAATTAGCCATGCTATGCCCAACAGAGTTGTCTCCCTTTTTGTTTCAAGTTCCTGTGTTCGGGTTATGCTCCATTAAAATGTTTTCCCATAGACTTGTATTGAAATGTTATATGTATTTTTAAATAATTAAGCATTCAGCAGCCTATTCATGTACATGTATGCATAATATGGCCTTAAAGCTGCAATAAAGTCACAAAATTTGGCTCGCTTAGCCCGCTCGATTTCCTAGTTCTGGAAGCTAAACCCACCAACCCTATTTAACAAAATGTCACTTACTTAAACATATCTGTGGACACATTCATGATAAATTATGATGTTTAAAAACGAGGGACTGAATTTTGAAAAGTCGTGGTCAGTTTTAGTTACTGGGTGCATGTACATTAAAAAACATACAAATCATACACAATATCATCCAATCACAGCTGGCAGTCTCCCACTGCACATTCTCTACGGAAGCATCTGATCAAGAATATTTCAAGAATTTTAAACTATAACAGGGGGTTGGAGCATCACACAGACATTGTAAATACTCAGATGATGGCTTGTTTTTAAGAGAAAGCTGTCTTTTAAAAGTGAATGAGATGTTTTATAGTTGTTTATGTGATTAGAGAGAACACTATAAATGTTTCAGAAGCATCCGAAAGCCCATAACACTTGCTAGAGTAAGGTTTGTAGGTATGTCATAGTCTGTTTGCTTTGTGTTACAGGATCAAAATACCCAGAGGTTGTTTTCTTAGGTACAGGTTCCGCTATCCCGAGTAAGCCAAGGAACGTTAGTTGTATACTGATTCACTTAAGGTAAGATTTACGCTAAAATCCTGATTATTCATTATATATTCGTATCATTTGATCGTAAACATCATTGTACATATATTAGTTAATTGTAAATTCACCTTACTGAGCGCTGGTTAAATTTTGAGAGCTGTACATAGTGCCCACATTGTAACAGGAAGTGTGATTTAGAGTTGCCTCTCCTTGTTGGTGACATGACAGTTTTGTCCAGTCTTCTGTCTTATTCATGTCACCGTAAATATCAGAAAAATATTAGAAAACATTAGTTAATTCATAATCAATTAACTGCAAGTGATTCTTTGGCATTTAAATCTTTTTTTCTTTTTTTAAAAGAAGTAAATTTAGGCCACACCCACTGACTATTTGCTGTTTCCTGATTGGCTGATAATAGCATGGGCAGTGTTTGTGTTTCATTATTATGCTGAATGTTGTCAATGATTTCGTAGGGAACATGAAGACATCTTTCCCACCCAAAAGATTTTAGAGGGCTATATTTTGCAAACTCTTAATCAGCGGGACTGGCCACCAAGTTGTTGATATTGCCAACCCAACTTTGAGGCTGCTTTGTATCTTGCATTCTCATCGGGTCAGTGGACTGAGCAACGTAGAGAATCAAATTAGCTAATGAAAATCAAGGGCGGGTATTTTGAGAGCGTGAGAACCACGGGAATGGATCCAGAGGTTAGTGTAGGTTTACTGAGATGCGAGCCCTGGGGATATAGAGGATGCAAAAAATGTGACCTACTCTTGAATTTGGGTCATGTCACCTGAGCATGAGACACTCTCTTGAAGTTGATCTTCAAAAATGATGTCAGAGTTGCTGTTCTGTACAACTGGGCTTGGTAGGTGTCACTGAAGACTGGCAAATCTCCTTTCGGAAAAATACAACATACCAATACCCACATGAGTACAATGAGGCCACCTCTAATAATATCCTGAATGTAGCTGCATCAGAGGAGAAAATAAATTTAGAGAAAATTATGGATTTGTTTTACTTACATTTTTTGTCTACTTTGTCATCCGCCAACTTCTAAGAAATGCCTATCAAACAATGTAACTACAGCGATAAAAACTACACATTTACTCCTGGTCTGATCCATGTCCATCCACTGATTGTCCGTGGGTACAGGGTAGCGTTGTAGCCTACTCCTTTATAGCCCTGATGTTAAAACCTCTTGATTTACAATGTCCTTAGATTAAAATGCTCTTGCAGAAATACTCACATGCGCCAGGACTCCCTCGTTTCTAAATGCAAATAAGTGAGGTGCACTGTCCATTGTGAGCATGTGGCTTGTGCTGTTTTGTAGCGAGGAAACTGCTGTCGTTCTGGACTGTGGTGAAGGAAGTGCTGGCCAGTTGTATCGTCACTATGGTGACCTGACCGACGACGTCCTGTGCAAGATCAAGGCTGTCTTCATATCACACATGCATGCAGACCACCATCTTGTAAGGCTGAACTGTGACAGATCCGGGGTAGAATAGGTCTTCAGCAACCCATGCTTGTCATAAAAGGCGACTAAGAGTCGACTAACGGGATCGGGTTGTCAGGCTTGCTGACTTGGTTGATGCATGTCATTGATCCAAATTGCATGGATCGATGGTTATGATGTCAATCACTGGATTGTCTGGTCCAGACTCGATTATTTGCAGACTTCAGTCATATAGCTGGAATATTGCTGAGTGCGGCGTTAAACAACAAACAAACAGAACTGTAACAGTAAAACAGGATTCATATCTGTGCATATTGCAAGAAATGTTTGGGCAAAGGATGTGACCTACTCAAGATTATGAAATAATATATAGACAGGTACAGTTGAAACTTGTGTGTGTCAAATTCTCAGTTGTCTTGAACTCACCTTCTCCTCCCTGCGAGTTCCTTATTTATTTATCGTTATTAATACACAGATCTGTCAAATTGGATGTGTTGAAATCCAGATTGTCTCAAACAGTTCAAAATATAAAATAACGTACACACGCATGCACACAGGCCAGACTTTCAACTTTTAACTTACTTCACACGCAATTGACTGACCTATCATAAATACTCAGATCTCTCAAACAGTTCAAAATATAAAATAACGTACACACACGCACGCACCCACCCACCCACACACACACTGCAATTACATCAAAGGCATGATGCTTTCTAATAACATGCCAATATCCAATCAAGCCTAATCAACAAGCACGCCTTACATCAAAGGTGCATGCTGATTGCTGTACATACACATCGGCAGCAAGTTACTGAAATATTTTCATGCAACTGATGATGACACGTGTGAATTGACAAATGAGTAGAGCAGATTAAGGTTGTTTGTGAATCTATCATGTTATTCAAGCTGTGAGTTATACGATTGTCAGAAGTTAATAAACTTCAGTACGGGTAAGTAACCTGGCTGAGCGATCTTTAGGAAAGAACTCAGTTTTGTCAGTTGAATATCCGATCAGATTTTTCTGCAGCACTATACATGCTCTCATGATTTGTAGAGTGCAGAAACAGGGAAATTCTTGCTACCTCACTTTTATTTACTTTCTTGCCATGCCCAAATGCAATACAGACTGTCATGTGAGTTTTTTTCAATTGTAAATGAATCTGTATTCGTAGTTGATATTACATTTCATCTTTCTAGTTTTTTTCTAAATGGCCTTCTATTTTTGAAGTGTTTGAAACTGTTACGATGTGATATTGAATTGCTTGTGAATTCAAAGTAAATTACATGTATATTGAATGTTCAAATTGATGAATAAATTATGTAAAACAATATTACATGGTACATGTATTTTATTTTTTGTTACTATATGATTATCAATGTTATAGCCTAGTATAAAACCAAAGACGACTAGATTACATTCAATAATCTCTCATAACATGATGTTTAGTTTTTGAAAAATTCAGTTTGTTGGTTGGCGCGAACCCCCAATAACTTGAACTTTCTTTTAGATCCCCATGATTTCGACACAAGGTTTGACTGTATCATATTGTGATTTCTCTTTACTTGTATTTTGTCTTTTGCCTTGGAAACAAACAAGCAAATTTTGACCTGTTTCTTTTTTAGGGGCTCTTTAGCATTTTGAGTGAAAGGAGAAATGTGTACAAGAAAAGAGGCCAGACTTCCCCCAATCTAACTGTACTTGCGCCGAGGTACATGAGACGATGGCTGGAGTTCTACAGCAATAATGTGGAGGCATTCACAGACCACCTAACGTGAGCCTGACTTCACCTTTTCTGTAGATCATCCTTAGCATTTTTTGTATGAGTAGCGGCAATGAGGTAATCTCATGGTTATTGTGTTCTCTTGTCACAACAAAGAAACTGGTTTGATTCCCCACATGGGTAAAATGGGAATGCTTGGAATACCGTGGAATGTTTGTGGTGTTAACATAGGAATGCTGGGAATACCGTGGAATGTTCGTGGTGTTAAAATGGGAATGCTTGGAGTACCGTGGAATGTTTGTGGTGTTCACATGGGAATGCTTGGAGTACCATGGAATGTTTGTGGTGTTAACATGGGAATGCTTGGAGTACCGTGGAATGTTTGCGGTGTTAACATGGGAATGCTTGGAGTACCGTGGAATGTTTGTGGTGTTAACATGGGAATGCTTGGAGTACTGTGGAATGTTTGTAGTGTTAACATGGGAATGCTTGGAGTACCGTGGAATGTTTGCGGTGTTAACATGGGAATGCTTGGAGTACCGTGGAATGTTTGTGGTGTTAACATGGGAATGCTTGGAGTACCGTGGAATGTTTGCGGTGTTAACATGGGAATGCTTGGAGTACCGTGGAATGTTTGCGGTGTTAACATGGGAATGCTTGGAGTACCGTGGAATGTTTGCGGTGTTAACATGGGAATGCTTGGAGTACCTTGGAGGAAAGCTGTCGCTATAAATAGTATCCATACCGCTCAAGCTTCTATGGTTCATGAGACCAGAGAACTTCAGTGTATGCTTGACCAGATTGTTTAATACATGTATCTAAATACGTTTTGCCAGGGCTATGGTAAAAAAATTCCCCATCGGACATTTTGTAACTATCTCTTGAGACCTACAGTGAGTACCCGGGTAGGGCCGGGTAATAGGGGGGTGGGTACCCGGGTAGTAAATTTGGACTCGTCCCAGCCCTACCTATTACCTAGCTGGCTTCCATTTGCCATTCTTTCACCCATCAGTGCTAATTACCCTCAGCCTCCTGTTTGCCCTGTGTCCATTGCCTATTACTACTTATCTATGATAACTTAAGTACTGGCTTCCATACCTTCAGCGCTTATTATCCCCCGCCGCGCGAAAGCGCGAAGCGGGGGATATAGTATTCACGACCGTCCGTACGTCCGTCCGTACGTCCCACCTGTTTGTTGCCGCGATATCTCAAGAACTAAACACTGGATTGTCTTCATATTTGGAACTATGGTGTATATACAGACTCCGCAGACACCAGTCGGTTTTGGTGACCTTGATCCCATTTTCAAGGTCACAGCAGACAAATCTGCTTTTAGAGTTGGAAAACGGTGTTGCCGCGATATCTCAAGAACTAAAAACTGGATTGTCTTCATATTTGGAACTATGGTGTATATACAGACACCGCAGACACCAGTCGGTTTTGGTGACCTTGACCCCATTTTCAAGGTCACAGCAGGCAAATCTGCTTTTGGAGTTGGAAAACGGTGTTGCCGCGATATCTCAAGAACTAAACACTGGATTGTCTTCATATTTGGAACTATAGTGTATATACAGACTCCGCAGACACCAGTCGGTTTTGGTGACCTTGATCCCATTTTCAAGGTCACAGCAGGCAAATCTGCTTTTAGAGTTGGAAAACGGTGTTGCCGCGATATCTCAAGAACTAAACCTCTCGATTGTCTTCATATTTGGAACTATGGTGTATATACAGACACCGCAGACACCAGTCGGTTTTGGTGACCTTGACCCCATTTTCAAGGTCACAGCAGGCAAATCTGCTTTTGGAGTTGGAAAACGGTGTTGCCGCGATATCTCAAGAACTAAACACTGGATTGTCTTCATATTTGGAACTATAGTGTATATACAGACTCCGCAGACACCAGTCGGTTTTGGTGACCTTGATCCCATTTTCAAGGTCACAGCAGGCAAATCTGCTTTTAGAGTTGGAAAACGGTGTTGCCGCGATATCTCAAGAACTAAACCTCTCGATTGTCTTCATATTTGGAACTATGGTGTATATACAGACACCGCAGACACCAGTCGGTTTTGGTGACCTTGACCCCATTTTCAAGGTCACAGCAGGCAAATCTGCTTTTGGAGTTGGAAAACGGTGTTGCCGCGATATCTCAAGAACTAAACACTGGATTGTCTTCATATTTGGAACTATAGTGTATATACAGACTCCGCAGACACCAGTCGGTTTTGGTGACCTTGATCCCATTTTCAAGGTCACAGCAGGCAAATCTGCTTTTAGAGTTGGAAAACGGTGTTGCCGCGATATCTCAAGAACTAAACCTCTCGATTGTCTTCATATTTGGAACTATGGTGTATATACAGACACCGCAGACACCAGTCGGTTTTGGTGACCTTGACCCTATTTTCAAGGTCACAGCAGGCAAATCTGCTTTTGGAGTTAGAAAACGGTGTTGCCGCGATATCTCAAGAACTAATCGCTGGGTTGTCTTCATATTTGGAACTATAGTGTATATACAGACACCGCATACACCTGTCAGATTTGGTGACCTTGACCCCATTTTCAAGGTCACAGCAGGCAAATCTGTTTTTGGAGTTGGAAAACGGTGTTGCCACAATATCTCAAGAACTAATCGCTGGATTGTCTTCATATTTGGTACTATGGTGTATATGGCGGGGGATATTTCGTCACTCTGTGACAAATACTTGTTACTGTAAAGTGTTGGCTTCCATTGCCTATGCTAATCACCTTTCAGCACCAATCACCTGTTGGCTTCCCTTATTAGTTTCTACCCTTTGTAATTTTCCACCTTTTGTTATCTTATTAATTTTGTTGTCCTTACCTGCACACATATATGCTCTCTGCCTCATGGCATTTATTCACCTGATCAAGGAGTAAGCATATACTCTGAAACGTTGTGTTCCTCATAATAAATAAGTTGACATCCATATATCTCTTCCTTATGTTAGTACTTCTTTAAATATTGAGAATACAACTATCCATTCTCTGACTCACACTCTGACTCACTCACTCACTTTGACCTTTCAAAGTTCAAGTGCAGCTAAATGGAGTTGCCATCTGTGTATGTGGTGACTAGGGCTAGGACGAGGCCAAATTTACTACCCAGGTACCCGCCACCCTATTACCCGGCCCTACCTGGATACCCGCTCTAGGTCTCAAAATTTGGGCACAAAATATCCAAATGGGGATTGTTTTACAGCAGCCCTGGCAAAAATTATTTAGATACATGTATAAAACGATTTGATCATGTATACACTTCAGTTGATAGACGCTTTATCCTTACTTGAACATATAAAAGTCAAAACGAATGCCTGCATAGAGTGAGTGAGTGAGTATGGTTTTACGCCGCTTTTAGCAATATTCCAGCAATATCACGGCGGGGGACACCAGAAATGGGCTTCACACATTGTACCCATGTTGGGAATTGAACCCGGGTCTTCGGCGTGACTGCATAGTGAGAAAGAAATATGTACATTAGTTATACTAGTAGTGAAACCATTGAGTTTTTATTGTTAATGTCATCAAACAGTATATAACGTGACTCACCACGGGTCCGGGTAGTCATGTGGGTACCCGGGTCCTACTCAGGACCTACCCGACCCGAGTACCTGAGTTACCCGTCCCAGCCCTAGTGGTGACATAATCAATATGCTGTGTATTGGCCAAAAAAATGAATCGCAATATACTTTGGTACAAGTATCTGTTTTGTTATATATATGGAGCTAAAGAGTTTGATGGTGATTGACACTCATTTTCCACACAGATCCTATTTTCTATATACTGCGGTAAATATTACTCAGCATGGTCAGTTGCCGCCATTTTGTAGGCATGGATACAGGGGAGATAACAATGTAAGAAAAAAAATCATTTCTGCGTTTTTACTGTTTTGTCAATTTCAAAGGGTAACATCATTTGTGAATTAAGTTCTGTTATATAAGAATATTGGAATATGTATTGTATATATATATTTCGGTATACTGGTATATCGGTAAAACTGTGCAGTCCTTGTCATGAAGTTTGATTTGTCCATGGAGAAAGTGTCTCCAGCTGAAGTGAATTAACCACACTATGCTTATGAAGCAGACGTAAAATGTCACAGAATACCTGTAAGTAAGCAAAATGTCTTCCTCGCAGTTATAAAGTAAGATATGATGAGTGAAGAAATTGGGATAAAACAAAGACTGGTCACCTCAGGGTCAGTATACTGCGATATACCCTGTGGGAGCCAGTTTTCCACAATAAATCAGTGTACACACTGGATACAAAACAATGTAACCGAGTTTGAGATTGACCCACATCATCAACACAAAGTGGAGTGAGTTTTACGTCGCTTTTAGCAATATTCCAGCAATATCACGTCCGGGGACACCAGAAATGGGCCTCACACATTGTACCCATGTCGGGAATCAACCCGGGTCTTCGGCGTGACAAGGGAACGCTTTAACCACTAGGCTACCCGACCATCCCACACAAAGTGGAGAAATGTCAGACATTCATCATGTTCATTGTGTACCTCTGTGATTGTAACACATAGAAGCATTAACTCACAATGCTAGAGCATACATTACTATGTTTCTTGTGAAAATAGTTGGGCTGCCTGTTGGCTTTGGTATTTGGCTGTCAACATGTTTTTTTTAAATCAGTAAGTGGCTTTATGTTCAAATCCCCTCACATTTGAAAATCAATTACCCAGGTTGTGTTTTTTGTATAGCTAAGAGAACAAACTGGAAATTTTCAGAACTGACTTAATCACTTGACTGTTTTGATTTGTTTCATGTTTTGTCATAAAAGATTTGTTCTAATCATTGCCTTGCAGCCTAATCCCTCTGCAGGAAAGCAACCAGCAGTGGCAGAAACTGAATGCTGTCAAGACGGAGCTGCAGCTCAGTGAGGTATGATATGTTAATGTAATTGGTATTATGGGAGTAATTGCTTGCCTTTGTGCTCACAAGGACAAGCTTGCTGTGTTGGCTTCCCCTGGGATGCTAGCTCTGTATGTCACTCCTTTTGTAGATTCGAGGGATGATTAGTCAAAGTGAAATGAACATTTTAATTAATTAACAGTGTTTGTGGAACTTTAGTTTTTGTTTTTGGTTCTTTTTGAGTTTCCTGTTCTTTTGTCACTGACAGTTTTGTTCTGTGGAAAAGCCTGATAATTGCACATGACAGGATCATGACAACTGTTAGCACAACTCCAGGGTCTCATGTTTGTGGTCAGTGCAGAATAGCTGCTCTTCTACACAGCAGGGGTAATTCAAAATTTACAAAGAAATGACAACAAAATCAGTAATTGTGCTGTCATGTGACTGGATTTGTGGTCCATCACTTGATTGTCTGGTTTGTGTTCATGTTGCCATAGTATGACAGGAGTTCTGCTGTCAACAAACACATACTTTTTTATGCAATTGTGCGAGTGATGGGTGCTGGCAGTAGAGCAGGACATGCTTACTGTTTTCATGAACACCTGGTGTCATCACTGATTTTCAGAAATACATTCACAATTTTCACTGTTACCTTACGCTTAATGGAATAGATTCTGTTGGATAATCAAGACTGGCTATTGTCTGGCGTTACTTAATGTGTTATGTTTTGGGTTATATCAAGAAAACAAATAGATTGCAGAGAAGCTGGCTCTTATCTTTTTTTATGTTCAGGTTGTTACCAGGGTGTTACCAGGGTGTTGCCAGGGTGTTACCTTTGTAAAACTACAGGCCCAGCCATACTACACAGTGATATGACATATGTTTTATTACTAGACATGTCATGGTATTATTTGTAACAGTAATGATTATAAAACACAAACTTATGTTCATTAAGTATGTTCAGAGACATAGATCTTTATTTTTTAGTTTCAAATTAGTGATTATTTTAATTGATAAATTGTTTAATTTATTTATTTAGGGTTTATTTATTTTCTGTGTCCACTTGATGCACATTTATCACCTCATACCCTGCCCCACTATTTTCTAATCCTTGTTTGCTATTTTTAGTTTTGTTTTTAGATTTGACCTTTCTTGAAAATGTCATTTCAAATTCATTCAAACTGCTTTTGCTGTTTTCTGTATCTTCACATAATTGAAAAAAAAAATATTTCCAGAGTTTGATTTTGGTAATAAAATCAGTGATGGTCAGTTATTTGGCAGTCTTGGGGACATTGTGATATTTCTTCGCCTGATCTTTGAACAAAACCTGTTTGTCTGTCTACAGTTTATCCCTGTGGAGGTGGATCATTGCCCCAATGCATTTGGCGTGGCCCTTGTCCACAAAGATGGCTGGAAGATTGTATATTCCGGAGACACCATGCCCTGTGGACGCCTCGTGACAGCAGGCAAGTAAACCAACTCTCATGGTCTAGCACCGGAAAATGAGCCGACTACTCATGCTAAAGATGAGGTAGTGGACTTATCAATAGTCATATCAGGTGGAAATGGAGAGCCAAATATCCCCAAGGTGTTGGCTTGGGTTATAAGTGGCAGACATTGTCAGGTAGTGCTCCCAAGGCTTGAGATGCTGTGTACTTGATATGTAGGGCACTTCAATGGTGTTCTTGTGTTTGCAGGTCAAGGTTGTGACCTGCTGATCCATGAAGCCACGATGGATGATGATCTGGAAGAAGAGGCTAAGCACAAATGTCACAGGTAAATGTCAAGAGGGCCACAATGGACATTGATTTGTCTGATTTACTAGTTGATGTCCCTGTTGGTCCATCTTCTCGATGCAAATGAGTTAACTGACTTTGAAAGTCCAGTTTCCTCCCTTGCAGAACTAGGCTGGTATTATGGTGTTACATTTTGGTTAGACTGATGAGTCTATGCGTAGTCCAATCAAAATCACATTAAGAAATCGAAATCTGGTTCGTAAACTGTCATGCAGATTTCGGTTGATTGCAGAATTTGCAAAGCATGTGCACTGCCAACTCGGCATCAACAGATATTTTATTTTAATCAAGGTGCAAGAGGCATTCGGCTAGCCTAGTGGTTAAAGCGTTAAGATCCGGGTTCAATTCCCGACATGGGTACAATGTGTGAAGCCCATTTCTAGTGCCCCCATGCTGTGATATTGCTGGAATATTGCTAAAATCGGCCTAAAGCCATACTCACCAATCAAGGTACTCACATGATTTGATGCACTTTGCGTTGTAAGACCTGTTTGATCACAATATATCTTGATTATTGATCCAGTCGGCTTGACTGAGCGCTGCTATTTTGTTTGAAGCAAATGCAAGTGATACAAGTGGCAGAAGCTGATTGGTCAATAGGAGAGGCAGAAAAGGGACACAACTGTTAATAGCCACTGGTGGTGCTACGATCGAGGACAGAAATTCCAGCCTAGTTCGGCGAGGGTGGAAACTGGACTTTTATAGTTAGTTAACTCTCTTGCCTCAGGAAGATGCTGTTGGTCAGGCTGAAACATGATGGAAGCAGTGAATGAAAAGAGAAAAGAAATGTGTTTTGAAACCTGTCAATTCATGTGGAATTATTTTAGTGTTTGTTGTCTGTCTATTAGGTCATTTACTTTTTTGGGAACAGGACAGATGTGTGGGGATGAGAAGAGAGCTGTTAAGGTTATGAAAGATGGAGATTTTATGTCCAAAAAATGATGGACTTTACCCAAAAATTAGTCATTGTTTCATACTTGACCATGTCTTTTCATGACCTCCCTGAGACTCTGAACTTCTAAACATGAAACATGTAAAGTTCAGCTCCCCCATCAATGGCACCTTGATATAGTATAGCTTTTCTCCCATCTTCTGTTTATTTGGCTGTCTGGCCATCCTTTTACATAAGAACATAAGATGACTTCTTCTCCAAATCTACTGAACATGTCAATGTCATTTCTCATAACAGTTTGGTTCTACATGTCCCAAGCAACAACAATGAAATCTTTACATTTTGAAATATTCAAATGGATGCTATGGCAGCTCATGTTAGTTAAAATATACAGTATTTGAGCCAATCTCTTGACCTTAGCAACCATCTAACATATTGTTTTTCACAATTTCAGAGTGTTTTCTTCATAAACTTCTTTACAACTAAGCATTTAAAGTTAAGAAATGATATCAAATCACTTTTTGGGTTATGTAGTCAGTTGCATACCAATTGGTGACTATTCTTCTAGCGTATGAGTTGCCATACTTCCATTCAAGTGAGTGAGTTAGGTTTAACGCTGCTTTGAATAGTGTTCCAACTTCTCAGCATAATGGGGAGAAAAGCCCGAAGTGATCAATTCTTAGACATTTACCATTATATATATACATAGCATGGGTATGGTACCTACAAACCTAAAAATATAATCGGGACAAACCGGGATTCGAACCCGTCATCATAGGTTTCTGACGTACACAAGGGACACAACTCTACACTGTGAAAACTGCAAGTCACACACACGGGCAATAGTTTCATGACACAGTTATTTTTGCAGACCATCAAGAAACATAAAACATAAGGAAGCATATTTCTTTCATTCACTTCCACACATTGTCAACCAGCCAGTACATGATTAAATAGACTAACCCTCACATCCTGAGTGACTTAGTGTCAAGAGTCTAATCAGGAAAGTTCACAAGCTGGACACATCTCACTAGCTTAAATAACACAGAGTAGTCCAGAGTCTGGACGCCAAGTTACCTTTTCATCACAATACTTCCTACTCATAAAAAATAACATGCAATAGTATATTTGATCTTTCATAATCTCAACAACAGGGTGTCGCAAATCTTTACAGACACAGTTAAGGCTGTTGTTGCCGCCGGTAACCACTAACAATGATTAAAAGTGCTAAACGTTCCCGATTTATTGTATGTGAAGGTGATTGTTCTGTCATGACATGCTGTCTTTATATTAATCATACAAACAGTTTTGACCCCAATAACTAGAGATTTGGTTAAAAAAAAAGGCATGTCTGACCTCATACAATGCTTCCAGTTGTGGGCATATAGACTTTTTGAAAGGTCAAGGTCAGCTGTATGGGAATATGGAAAATGAGTGTTCAATGTTTCGATGCCACATTATCTAAGCTTATGTTTCTTCACTTATGAAAGCATCAAATGTAGAAACTCATGTTAGGATGTATTTAATGATCATTTCCTGCAACAAATCAATACACTACGTCTTTTAAGTTTTTCTATTACATTCATTAAGTTGCTTTTGGCTTTGTATAAATATTCTGTTTCATTAAGTGGATATTTCTGTACTTTTATGGTTATATTTTGATTTAATCAACTAACATTAAATATTATTTTAAACATAAGTAGCGCATGGAAGCAAAGGAAAACATGAGGAATAGGTTTCACATCTAAACATAAAGACATGATCATTGATGTTTTCCCTGTCAGATCTCTCAGCCATTCTAATTAAGTATATGAAAGTAACAACATTTTATTATAACATGCTGTTGGGTAGCATAAACGGTGACTTCATGCTTGTCCAGCAGCTGGACAGGGGATAATCCCCATCGTGTTTGGAGGGTAGGGCTTGGACGAGTCCAAATTTACTACCCGGGTACCCACCTCCCTATTACCCGACCCTACCTGGGTACCCACTGTAGGCCTCAGGAGATGTCTCAAAATGTCCGATTGAGACATGTTTAGCATAGCCCTGGCAAAACGTTTTTAGATACATGTATTAAACAATCTGGTCATTCATACACTGAAGTTGAATTAAGTTATATCTTTATTCAGCCTTATAAAAAATCAGAAGGAACGGGTGCACAGTCAGAAAGAAATGCGAACATTAGTGACTTGTAGTGTTACCATAGAGTTCTAGATAATTTTTGTCATTTCACATTATAATCAAGTGACTATCTACGGGTCCGGGTAGTCCTGTGGGTACCTGGGTCCTACTCAGTACCCACCCGACCCGGGTACCCGAGTTACCCGTCCCAGCCCTGTTGGAGGGGTCATTTCATGTACGGGACCGACGGATGCTTAGATAATGATAACACATAGTAATTTCTTCAAATCTTAATGTCTCAGGAACAACAAAATCTGTACACTGGGCTGATGTTTTATTTGGCTATGGAAGAGTCCTGTAAATATTACAAATGAAATGTTATGTGGCTTGGTGGTCCGGCATGGTGTGTGCGGAAGGTGAGTGTTCACACTGACCATGTAGTTGTTTTAGCTAGTATATTATTTATTTCAATAATTAAACAGTTATCTGGACTCTAATATAATTCACACATGAAGAATGAACCTATCGAGGGACTGCATGTGCCAGGGCCCAGGATGTACCTAACAGACCACGGGTACAATGTGTGAAGCCCATTTCTGGTGACCCCCACCGTGATATTGCTGGAATATTGCTAAAAGCGGCGTAAAACCATACTCACTCACTCACTAACAGACCACAGTTAAGGTGGGCTGTTCAAGCCAATATTAGGTATGGAAAGAAGTTGTTGACATAATTGATTAATAACTGATTAGTAAAATTTAACCTGCGACATTAAATTTACATAATTCAAAGTGCTAAGGTAAATGTGAAACAGCATTGTGATAATCGTTAACTGGTTTCTGGTTGTGAAAAATTATCTCTTCTCCCTCTCATTGGTATAGTCTATGTTTCAAAACTTTTTCTTTTTGGGTGGCATTAAGCTACCTGGATTGTGATCGCAGTATTATCCTGTTCATGCAACTTGCAGTATCTCAGTGAATATTTGTACAGATTTGGATGCAACCCCTCAAGATGATTTTTGGCATCGATCACTGCTGAGTGAGATATTTTGTGCTTTGTGACAAAGTATTTGGTGTTAGGTATGGTCGTGCATCCTCTTTGGAAACATTTCCGATGAATGGAAGTTTGACGTCTTAATCATGAACTTGTGTTCAGAAAAATACAAGTGCTGACCCCTCTTAGAATTGGGAAAATACTGTAAATCAACCTGCGCATTTACCACAGTGGAATAGTGTCACTTGCCTGTAATTCCTTTCATAGCCAAAACCTGTTTCAACATCCACTAAGGGGAACCCCGGCATTGGCTGAATTTTTCGCTAGGGGAATGATTTCTCCTGTAGTTTTAGGTCTGTTTTGCGCTATTTCTGTTTTTCAAATTATATTTTGGTCAAGAATTAGTGATTATGTATGCCCTAAAGTATTAAAATCTGCATAGTGGCTATGTTGACGTTACTTGCCCTTATACATTTACTTTCTCAATGAAGTAGGTGCTTGAAGAGAGCTTGAAGTCTATTAACAGTGCTTCAGAAGGGCTGGAAGTCTATTTACCGTGCTTAAAACAGATTTGGAAGTATATTACAGTGTTTAAAAAGAGCTGGAAGTGTATTAACAGTGCTTAAAGAGAGCTGGAAGTGTATAAACAGTGTTTAAAAAGAGCTGGAAGTGTATTAACAGTGCTTAAAAAGGGTCTGGAAGTGTATTAGCAGTGTCTAAAAAGGTCTGGAGGTGTATTAACAGTGCTTAAGAAGAGCTGGAGGTGTATAAACAGTGCTTAAAAAGGTTTGGAAGTGTTTTAACAGTGCTTAAAAAGAGCTGGAAGTGTATTAACAGTGCTTTAAAAGGGCTGGAAGTGTATTAACAGTACTTTAAAAGAGCTTGAAGTGTATTAACATTGCTTAAAAAGAGCTGGAAGTGTATTAACAGTGTTTAAAAAGAGCTGGAGGTGTATTATCAGTGTTTAAAAAGAGCTGGAAGTGTATTAATAGTGTTTAAAAAGAGCTGGAAGTGTATTAACAGTGTTTAAAAAGAGCTGGAAGTGTATTAATAGTGTTTAAAAAGAGCTGGAAGTGTATTAACAGTGTTTAAAAAGGGCTGGAAGTGTATTAACAGTGTTTAAAAAGGGCTGGAAGTGTATAAACAGTGTTTAAAAAGAGCTGGAAGTGTATGAATAGTGTTTAAAAAGAGCTGGAAGTGTATGAATAGTGCTTAGAAAGGGCTGGAAGTGTATTAACAGTGCTTAAAAAGAGCTGGAAGTGTATTAACAGTGCTTAAAAGAGCTGGAAGTGTATTAACAGTGTTTAGACAGGGCTGGAAGTGTATTAACAGTGCTTTGAAAGGGCTGGAAGTGTATTACAGTGCTTAACAAGAGCTGGAAGTGTATTAACAGTGCTTTAAAAGGGCTGGAAGTTTATTACAGTGTTTAAAAAGGACTGGAAGTGTATTAACAGTGCTTAAAAAGGGCTGGAAGTGTATTACAGTGTTTAGAAAGGGCTGGAAGTGTATAAACAGGGTTTAAAAAGAGCTGGAAGTGTATTAACAGTGCTTAAAAAGAGCTGGAAGTGTATTTACAGTGTTTAGAAAGGGCTGGAAGTGTATTAACAGTGTTTAAAAAGGGCTGGAAGTGTATTCACAGTGCTTAACAAGAGCTGGAAGTGTATTAACAGTGTTTAAAAAGGGCTGGAAGTGTATTACAGTGCTTAACAAGTGCTGGAAGTGTATTTACAGTGTTTGGAAAGGGCTGGAAGTGTATTAACAGTGTTTAAAAAGGGCTGGAAGTGTATTACAGTGTTTAAAAAGAGCTAGAAGTGTATTAACAGTGTTTAGAAAGGGCTGGAAGTGTATTAACAGTGCTTAGAAAGGGCTGGAAGTGTATTACAGTGCTTTACAAGAGCTGGAAGTGTATTAACAGTGTTTAGAAAGGGCTGGAAGTGTATTAACAGTGCTTAGAAAGGGCTGGAAGTGTATTACAGTGCTTAACAAGAGCTCAAAGTGTATTAACAGTGTTAACAAGAGCTGGAAGTGTATTAACAGTGCTTAAAAAGAGCTGGAAGTGTATTAACAGTGTTTAGACAGGGCTGGAAGTGTATTAACAGTGCTTTGAAAGGGCTGGAAGTGTATTACAGTGCTTAACAAGAGCTGGAAGTGTATTAACAGTGCTTTAAAAGGGCTGGAAGTTTATTACAGTGTTTAAAAAGGGCTGGAAGTGTATTAACAGTGCTTAAAAAGGGCTGGAAGTGTATTACAGTGTTTAGAAAGGGCTGGAAGTGTATAAACAGGGTTTAAAAAGAGCTGGAAGTGTATTAACAGTGCTTAAAAAGAGCTGGAAGTGTATTTACAGTGTTTAGAAAGGGCTGGAAGTGTATTAACAGTGTTTAAAAAGGGCTGGAAGTGTATTCACAGTGCTTAACAAGAGCTGGAAGTGTATTAACAGTGTTTAAAAAGGGCTGGAAGTGTATTACAGTGCTTAACAAGTGCTGGAAGTGTATTTACAGTGTTTGGAAAGGGCTGGAAGTGTATTAACAGTGTTTAAAAAGGGCTGGAAGTGTATTACAGTGTTTAAAAAGAGCTGGAAGTGTATTAACAGTGTTTAGAAAGGGCTGGAAGTGTATTAACAGTGCTTAGAAAGGGCTGGAAGTGTATTACAGTGCTTAACAAGAGCTGGAAGTGTATTAACAGTGTTAACAAGAGCTGGAAGTGTATTAACAGTGCTTAAAAAGAGCTGGAAGTGTATTAACAGTGTTTAGACAGGGCTGGAAGTGTATTAACAGTGCTTTGAAAGGGGCTGGAAGTGTATTACAGTGCTTAACAAGAGCTGGAAGTGTATTAACAGTGCTTAAAAATGGCTGGAAGTGTATTACAGTGTTTAGAAAGGGCTGGAAGTGTATTAACAGTGCTTAAAAAGAGCTGGAAGTGTATAAACAGTGTTTAAAAAGAGCTGTAAGTGTATTAACAGTGCTTAAAAAGGGCTGGAAGTGTATTACAGTGCTTAAAAGGAGCTGGAAGTGTATTAACAGTGTTTAACAAGAGCTGGAAGTGTATTAACAGTGTTTAACAAGAGCTGGAAGTGTATTAACAGTGTTTAACAAGAGCTGGAAGTGTATTAGCAGTGTTTAAAAAGAGCTGGAAGTGTATCAACCGTGCTTCAAAAGAGCTGGAAATTGCAGAGAAACAAACCTGCCTTCAACAGACCGTACAGAAATACTGATATAATAAAATATTTCACTGTCACATTCAAGATTGAACAATTTACAGAGGTAGTTGGATATGTCAGAAGCAGCATGAGGGCCGTGTTGCAACAATAAAGAAATTAGGTTGCATGATAGCTGTGAGATATTTTATGACGGTTTGAATAGGATAACTGAGCATGGCCTGTGCTTTACAACTTAGTGCTCATGCTCGGGCACACTGTAGGGGAAATATTGACATGCATATGATGGGGAAAAATGTCAGGTGATTGGTTTATGGAAAACTTGAAGCTCTAAAGTTGTTGAATCAATTGTGTTGAGGCCTGGTCTTTCTTGTGACTAATTGACCTGTGTGTAGATGAAAAATGTTTTTCAAGAGAGGTTTTGGGCTTGAAAAGGCATGAAAACTGCTGGAAATGTGACCCGTAACATGTGACTGAATCTTCAAACCTGAGGCAGTTTATCATGTCGAGACATATTGGACCTAGATCTCTTGTCCAGAGGCTTTAAGCCCATGAGTGAGTGAGTGAGTATCGTTTTACGCTGCTTTTAGCAATATTCCAGCAATATCACGGCGGAGGACACCAGAAATGGGCTTCACACATTGTACCCATGTCGCAAATCGAACCCGGGTCTTCGGCGTGACGAGCGAACGCCCATGAAGATCAGTGTTAGAACCCATGCTTGCTGTAAAAGATGACCTTGTCGCAAAAGGCGACTAATGGGATCAGGTGGTCAGGCTCGCTGATTTGGTTGATGCATGTCATTGTATCCAAATTGCGTCAATCGATGCTCATGATATCAATCACTGGATTGTTTGGTCCAGACTCGATTATTAACAGACCGCGGTCATACAGCTGGAATATTGCTGAGTGCGGTGTTAACAACAATCAACATCAACATCAACATCCAGAGACTTTACAGCTGTCATGTTTCCATGTTGCAGCACCACTTCACAAGCTATTGGCATAGGACACCAGATGGAGGCCAAGTTCACCCTGCTGACCCACTTCAGTCAGAGATATGCCAAGTTACCATTAGTCAGTGGAAAGTTCACCGATAAAGTGGGCTTCGCATTCGACAATATGAGGGTAAGACATGTTGTCTCTGGAACAGTTTTGCATCTTGAAGTTGTTTTGCTTTAAAAGTTTCAAAGTTGGAACAACTAATGTGGTATGATAAGGCAACTTTATTGCATATTGGAAATGTCGGATTTAATAGCTGTGCAAATCTTTGTAATATTGGCATGAATATCAACAGACATGTTCTTACACTGTCAAGTTTCCGGCCTTGTCATGATCAAGTACAAAAGAAAAGCTCAACTAAGAAAAGACCAATTTCGCAAAGTCTGTGATGCAAGATGCATTCTTTTACTGCATGTTTGTGGTGTTTTTATCTTTGTCACAAAAACAAGTTTAAGGGAAGGATTTGCTCTCGGTCAAATATTACAAAAAACTCTATGCTCAGCCTTTTTGACACATTTTATCTCCACCATTTGGTGATGTGTTGAGGTGAACAAAGTGTACTTTCATAACCATGATCCATGAAGATCCGGGGTAGAATAGGTCTTCAGCAACCCATGCTTGCCGTAAAAGGTGACTATGCTTGTCGTAAGAGGCGACTAACGGGACTGGGTGGTCAGGCTCGCTGACTTGTTTGATTCATGTTCAAAAAGATTTGCACTTTTCTTAAGTTATGCATGTATGCTGTGGGCTACAATGTGTCTTGAGATACCTAATCACTTTGTGGGCTGGCAACGATGCTACAGTAAACTATTATCATGAGTTCCATAGTATGACTTTGTCCACACAGCACTATCTACTTTGGCATCCAGAGACTCTGAGTAATATATTGTGTGGTCCAATGCATGAACATGGGATCCCAGGCTGGTGAAGGGTCTCGTTTCAATTGATTACCATCATTTGACTGACTTGCTGTCATTGCACATGGTCAGGAGATGGTTATTTATGGGAATTTCAGTGTACTGACACAGTGAACTTTGAGTGTATTTCTTACCAGAATGGAAATACCGTATTCGACGTAATAAGCGCCCCGCTCTAATTAGTGCCCACAGCTGTATTTGCAAATATATTTGCTAGTGAACAATACCAATTAGCACTCCTTCCGATCTATCAATGTACACAAGCCATATTTATTTGCGTATAATACGCACTCGTGTGTTATTTGCACCCTTAATTATGGGCAATTAAATTCCGGAAAAATTGTATCTCTCGTAAATAAACATTTCAGGCTGTCAGCATAAACCAAAATATTTATCTTTCAACTCTGTTTTTTTTCTCACCAAAATAATATTCTCATAAGAGACCCCTATTTCTAATTTTGAGAGCGCCCTGGGCACTTATTACGTTGTATATGGTATCAGTTTTATGTAACATGTAGGCCACAATTTTGATAGATTAAATTATTCATATAGCCATACCTTTTTTCATCCAAAAAGACTATCGGTGGAAATGTGTCCATTCTAAATTTATATGTGTAGGACGCAATATTTCCAGTGTGGTTTGTTTGTTTGTTGTTTGACGCCACACTCAGCAATATTCCAGCTATGTGATGGTAGTCTGTATATACCGGTAATCAAATCTAGACCAGACAATCCAGTGATTGACATCATGAGCTACGCAATTAGAATATGATGACATGCGTTAACCAATTCAGCAAGGCTGACCACTCAATCATCTTTGTCGCCTCTTACGATAAGCATGGGTTGCTGAAGACCAATTGTAACCCGGAATCTTCACGGGACTCTAGTGTGGCATATCCTTGCTCAGTAAAGTTTACGTAAATGGCTTCTAAAACCTAAATAATGTCTTTAAGATCCAGTCATTACAAGGGCAATTTTGATTTTTGTGATCAATAGCAAAAAGTTAACTTAGAGGTTTGTTTGGATCAATGCTATAATCCATCTCATGTGAATCAATTGGACGCCAAATGAAGTTAATTAAAATGATATTTAACTGGTATGTATTGCAACAATATTATATCATACTACATATTACATTCATTGTTGCTGGTTCTGAAAGTTGGTGTCTAGTTAATTGTTTGTCAATTTGTCCTTGATATATATGCAGGAAATATTTGAATTTCAATAACAACAATGAGCTGAACTTGTTTAAGTCTGACATATGATTTCCATGTAATGTTAGTGCTGAAGCTCAGACCCGTGAAGATTCCGGGGTAGAATAGGTCTTCAGCAACCCATACTTGCCATAAAAGGTGACTATGCTTGCCGTAAAAGGTGACTTTGCTTCTCGTAAAAGGCGACTAACAGGACCAGGTGGACAGGCTCGCTGACGTGGTTGATGCATGTCATCAATCCCAATTGCGTGGATCGATGCTCATGATATTAATCACTGGATTGTCTGGTCCAGACTCGATTATTTACAGACCGCCGTCATATAGCTGGAATATTGCAGAGTGTGACGTTAAACAACAAACCAACCAAACCAAGCTGAAACTCATCCTTTCCTATTTCTCAACGAAACCATGCTGTTCAGATAAATGAGGCTGCTCTTGGTATGTCACAATATACCACTGGCATGGCTTCATTTCGATGAAAGAGAGCAGCTATTTGGACTAATAGATACAGCATCGAAGGCAGCTATTTGGACTAATAGATACAGCATTGAAGGCAAGCCTATCTAAAGGTTGTGTACATTATGCAACAATTTCTCTCCAATAGGTAACCTTGAGTGATCTCCCGTTGCTGCCTCTCTTCACGGAGGCAATGAAAGCTATATTTGCTGATCACTACAATGACATGGAAGAAAAAAGCAGAAAGAAGATGAGAAAGAAAATCCTCATAAAAGACCTAATGGCGAATGCAAGTACATCAGAAGCGGAGGAGCCAAAGACAGATGACAAAAAGGCCCCGGAGATATCTGAGCCAGCTGAAGAAGAGTCCCACTCTGTTGTGCAAACATAGCTTAGCACTCAGTAGGGAGCCCGCTGGGATCTGATTGAGATTCTCCGATTTTAAATGGGAGAGGGAAACATCCTCTCGCAAAGACACAAATGGACATCAGTGAGTCAAATCAATTACTAGCATTCATCCAAGTCGAGCTCATGCTCTGTCATGTCTGTATCTAGGTTTGTATGTTACAAGTCCAAGTTTTCAAAGATCCATCAGTCTTGGAATCCTTTAATACTGTTACACAAGATGTGATGATTTGATCTCGTTAGGATAGGGATTTGTCTTTGTAGAATGGGTGACCTGTGTTGAACCATTGACATTGGAGTGCTTCGTAATTGAATCTAAATAGAACACTGTACAGGGATGATGTGTACATATATTTCTCAATGCAATAAAATAAGAGAAAATATTCCCTTTTTCTTTGTGAATTCGAGCTGGCAGTTGGAAATGGTTCTTAGAACAGGTTGGTATTATACATGTTCAGCGACTTCAGTCACTGGCCACTTTTTTATCATCTATTTCAATTGAACATGTCAGGAAGCAAATTGGAGCCCTTGTCATGGATATTTGTACCTGGCTATATATAGCAAACACATTGCCTGAGAACGGTGTGGGCCCTCGTCATGGATATTTGTACTTGGCTATATATATAGCAAACACATTGTCTGAAAGCGGTGTGAGCCCTTGTCATGGATATTTGTACATGGCTGTATATAGCAAACACATTGTCTGAAAGCGATGTCAGCCCTTGTCATGGATATTTGTACCTGGGTATATATAGCAAACACATTGCCTGAGAACGGTGTGGGCCCTCGTCATGGATATTTGTACTTGGCTATATATATAGCAAACACATTGTCTGAAAGCGATGTCAGCCCTTGTCATGGATATTTGTACCTGGGTATATATAGCAAACACATTGTCTGAAAGCGATGTGAGCCCTTGTCATGGATATTTGTACATGGCTGTATATAGCAAACACATTGTCTGAAAGCGATGTGAGCCCTTGTCATGTATATTTGTACCTGGGTATATATAGCAAACACATTGTCTGAAAGTGGTGTATGCCCTTGTCCTGGATATTTGTACCTGGCTATTTCTATCAAATGCATCATGATTTGTTTTTGTTTGTTGTTTAAATATTTATATATTTATATATGTATAGGATGCAATATTTCCAGTGTTGTTTGTTTGTTTGTTTGTTGTTTACGCCACACTCAGCAATATTCCAGCTTTGTGACGGTGACAGACAATCCAGTGATTGACATCATGAGCATCGATCCATGAAATTGGGATATGATGACATGCATCATCTAACCCGATCCCGTTAGTCGCTTCTTAAGACAAGCATAGTCACCCTTTCCTGCAAGCATGGGTTGCTGAAGACGTATTCTACCCTGGATCATCATGAGATAATGCATCATGAAGGGTCATGGTGACTGTGATTGTTCTAAATCCAAGTAGTAATGAGTTTTCATAAGTTTTGGCTCTCAAGTGATGCACAGACTTCTTGGTAATTCTTGGCAATTTTCGATCCAAGGAGTGTGCATGTGAGTTGGGTTTATTGCCCCTTTGAACAGTATTCCATGTGTATCGCAGCATTCCATTTACATCATGGCTTGTCAGTTTAATGTGGGAAGAAAGCCCGAAGTGATTCAGGTCTTAGACCTTTACAGCAGGGGTATGGTGCTGACACACCTAGAAACATAATCTGGATTCCAACCCACAATCATTCAATCCAAGTAGACACCACGGGCCTCATAACTTCACATTTCAGAAAGGGCTTTTACGAATGCTCTGATACTCTGCATGTTTCTTTGTTACCATAACAATAACAGTAAAATGTTCATACTCTCCTCTCCCATCTTTATGTCAACACGGCTTAAGATTTCACTTCATATAACAATCAGCTGGCTTTGAATGTATGGTGAGCAACAGTGCCTTGACTCACTGATTTCTTATAAACTTGTTATATACAAGATACACAAATTAGACGCTGATGTATATTTCTTCATTCATGTGATATCAAGTATAATGTCTGGATGTGTAATTGGTAAGGAGATTCATATTGTACTTAAGTATAAAATATATTAATATTTGAGAGTCATTAAATCAGTTTTATGGCTTCATGTAAAATGTCAAGTGTATAGATATTAATGTTCGTCCTGACTATTATTTTGCTTGTCAAATGGCCCAGCACATCTACTTATGTTGTCTGATCAGATCAGTAATGATATATTAGAGTATTATTTGCTTTCAGCTTGAATATGATACTGATTGTTTGCTGAAATATATGATGGGCACTTGTTGAGTGTGAATATCGTAAGTGAAAGCAGATTAACTGTCCTGCTAGCATTACTGTTGAACGCAGTCTTATAGCAGTCTCTATTTGCCAAAGAAAAGAAAAAAATGAAATAAGAAGTTTCAGATATCATTTGTTTCTTGCCATTGGCATGTTGTGAATGTATTCATATCTCTTTCCTTTATATGGCATGGACTTCTTTTGACTGCTCAGAACATCATGAACCTGAAACCTTAGGATGTCAAATCTTATTCTGGTATGAATTTGGAAAACACAAGTTACAATAACTACCTCTGATTGAAACGACTTCCTCTGTGGTCCAGTGGTAGAGCATCTGCCTGGATAACGGAAGATCCGGAGTCTGAGCCCCGGCTGTGTCATAACAAAAAACGTTAAAAGATGGTACTTGATGATACCCTGCCTGCCGCTTGGCTTTAAGAGGCTAAAACAAGGACTGGTTGGCCTGGAGTTAGTATATGTGTTCTGAGTGGAGTATTCATGTTAAACTGTGACATGAGCCAGCACTATAAAATCAGCATTAGTTTGGACTAGTACAAGCATGGCTTGGTATGGTTTGTTGTTTTACACCCACTCAGCAATATTCCAGCTATATGACAGCGGTCTGTAAATAATCGAGTCTGGACCAGGCAATCCAGTGATTGACATCATGCATATCGATCTGTGCAATTGTGATAGATGACATGCTTCAACCAAGTCAGCGAGCCTGACCACCCGATCCCGTTATTCGCCTTTTACGGCACATCGACATATAAGTGCAATAATCTTGAAGGCGAAGTTAAACCCCATTTCACCTCACCTCACCTCTGACTTTAACACCACAGACGCTAATGTTTATAGGGAAGTATTTCTCTCATTCATTGTTGGTAGACTTTTGGAAATAATCATATATACAATTATAACAGTTGCAGGTACTACATTGTTCAAAGTATGTGTAGTAATATATTATGTGCAGAAACCCCGATTGAAATCAACTGAGAGAGTGAATTTTAAGTTTTGGGGACTACAGAGAATATGACATTTGGATCATGATGACCAGCTTGACGTCATTAAAGTGAAATGCAAGGCTAGCATAGTCTTCTTTAGGGGTGGCCCCTTCATGTTGACTTTACAAAGTAGCTGTAGTTCACACCTACAATGCCTATAGTGATGTGAAAAGACAATGTGTGATCACATGCAGCACCATATTTTATTGAAAGGCTGTCATCAGTGTTGCCTTAATTCAGATCAACAACTGTACAAAGCAGTGGACTGAATCCACGAACCTTCACGAACACAAAGAGTTCACATTTCCTTTCAGCATGTTAAAATGGGGATAAACAGACTGTTTTCGGTGTAGGGCAAGGTTAGCTGTATGTGTAGGTGCTAAATTTAACATTTGAAACCCCACGCTGCACTTCTGTTCCAAATTCAATTTAGCGTTGTTAAGCAATCTGGTTTCCTAGCTCTTCATTGAAAACAAAGTGTTTATCTCCTAATCTCTTCATAGCTATGGAATTAACAGTAATAGTGTTTTACGTGAAAAAAAATCAATTCATTGAAGATATTGTCGTCTCAGAAACCCTTGTTTGATAATCTTTTCTGAAAAGTTGATGGATGACAAAGTAGACAATGTTTGGATAACAACTTCTACTTTATTGGGTTAACAATTACAGGAGAGGGATAGTATTGGTTCTCAGAAACGGTAACAACAGAAACTTTGGATAAGTTGTTCTGCTTTAGAACTGCTATTTTATCTTTGCCTTTGGACTAAAGACTTTATTACTTATTAAGAACCCTGTTTGCAAAACTTGACAATTACAGACTGGTTTGTGATTATTTTCCTTCTCCTTAGCAGACTATGGCCATCAGTATTAGCTCTCAACTGTGTCCAGCCAGCCAAATGGTCCTGTTTAACCTTTTTGCGATCTTTGGTTTTAAACACAGCTATAACGTTTGATCTTCACATACGTTTACCAGGGTCCATTTTACTGCTTTAATCTATGAAACCTTTGGGTGTGTGAAGCTGAAATTGTATGTGTTATGATCCCACTAATATACTAATATTGTGTCAGAAATCTATGTTAAACTGCGACATGGTATCAAAGTGGAATAGCACTAAAATACGGCTTTCTCCTGGACAAGTTCACGCACGCACGCACGCACGCACGCACGGACACGTCGTGATGTTAAACTCTATTTCCCCTCCTGGCACGTAACACCATTATCAGCGCAGTGTGTCTAATGTCGCAATATCTACCAGCATGATATTCTTACGTCCCAACTTTAACAAAAACACTGCCTCATCGACACCGCATGCCGATACCATTCATCCTTAGGGTATCCTATATATAGAATAAAAAGATCATATCACCATAACTCTACTCGACGGAAGATCGTTTGGTGAAGGATTCCTCCTCCGGGATGTAAAATATTCAACATGAAAATTTTACTTTTTACAGGTTAAGTTGAACGTAGTTTACTGTATGTCGTGCTACTCAAAACAAGTTAAGGAACACCCACAATTGGAAGGCTGTGTGTTGTTATGACCACCATGACATATTTCTGCAGTCATATGAAAAATCGGGTGTTCTTAACTTCATTGTATGGGTATGTAGCTATTCAGTCTACTATGGACCCGTTACTATTCGGGTTAGAATTGATCTTGAAAAAGGCGACTAACGGGATAGGGTGGTCCATCTTCCCGAGGCAAGTGAGTTAACTGACTTTAAAAGTGGAAACTGAACTTTTATAGTTAATTAACTCCCTTGCCTCGGGAAGGTGAGTGAGTGAGTTGGGTTTAACAGTATTTCAGTTATATCACGGCGTGTTGGCTCAAGGTGGGAGGAAAGCCCGAAGTGATGCAGTTCTCAGACATGTACCACTTCGGCGAAACCCACGAGCACGATTATTGTGCTGACAAACCTAGAAACACAATCGGGGCGAACCGGGATTCGAACCCACAATCATAGGTTTCTTGCGCAACTCTGCACAGCGGGTCGCAGCGCCTTAGACGACTGGACCACCCGTGCCCCCGCCTCGGGAAGATTAAGGTGGTCAGGCTCGGTGACTGTTGACGCATGCCATCATATCCAAATTGCAT